GTTTCAAGGATTCGGGCCTCCTCGCTTTGGGTACCCCCCCCCCCCCCCCCCCCCCCGGCGACTCGCCACGGCGCAACCCAGACTACTCACGATGATGTTTGCTTTGAGTTGTAGTGCATGTCTACTGCCGCATTAATTTTCTCAAGGTTGTTCTTTTTGGAAACGTGTGCGTATGCCTAGGCGTCTATGTTTGCCTCATGCACATGCGTATTTTTCTCTATCCCGGTTGTATCTAGCGACAGTTGGAAAAAGACCGTTCCGGCGGCGACGAAAACATGACAACAATTTGAGCTTTCTATGTCGTAAACGCAGTGCTCAGTTTTCAACATCGCGCTACCCGAAGTTGGTCTACCAAATCACTCGAGTGTTCTGCGCAAAAAACAGCCGAAAACCTCGAGGTTATTGCTGTCGTTGCCGTTTACGACATCGATTCTTCGCTTGCAAGACCGTTCTACTATCCCCCTTAACCTGGGCACAGGATCGGTGGTCCTAGTCTCACACAAACATGACGGAAGGTATTGGGTGCCATTGGTCTGGTTGCTGGTGTCTTCTCCCTCTCGACAGGTGGACTGCATCACCGTGAGCATGTTTCCGTTCAAGGCCTGCATCGAGGACCAGCTGCAGCGCCTGGCCGATGCCCTCACGGTTTCCCTCAGGAACGCGGTGCTTTCGAACTTCAAGGCTGTCGATGTGTTCCTGGAAGACTCGATGGAAAAGCTAAGCAGGCGGCCCCGCACCATCGACGACATCGGCGAGGTGATGGCATGCCCGGCATCGCTTTCGCCTGTTGATGTTTGCTTTTCCCTGCTCGCTCACAGCAGAGTATTTTAACGCATGGTCCTGGATAGACGTTAGCCGGTGTGCTCGTGTGTACTAAATATGGATCTCTTCGAAAATCTACAGTTTTTTAACCTCGATTTTATTTTTTTGTTGTTGGAACTGCGCGATGTTCGCCCAGGCGAAGCGTGACTGGAAGGAGATGGAGTCCAAGAAGGATGACATTCGACGGCTCTCGAGCAAGTGCGTGGGTCTCAAGGCTCTCCTTTTGCAGCACGCGCCCGGAAACCAGGTCAGTTTGGTGTGCACCAATGTTTTGTTTTTTTTCCGTCGTACCCACCACGGCATATTTTCTGAACAAGGCCGTCTCTTCAAATCACTGGCGAGCAAAGACCTCCTACAAAGCGAGGCTTTGGAGGGAAAACTGTTGGATGTATCGGGCATTGACGCCAACGCTGTTTGGAGTCCCCGAAGGGTGGGCTATATTCCACCAACCTCGTGCATAGGTTATTGGAAGATTTGTGTATTCAGCCGTGGGCTGTTGCTTAACTCTCGTTACCCCGAAGGTGGACGCATCAGAGGCGATTTCTAAGATGGCCGGATTAGACGGGGAGGGCGGAAGGTGGGACGAGTTCGACATCGCGGCGGAGGCTTTCCAGGAGATGGTAGAAGAGCAGAAGGAGAGTCTGAAGGGCGTTCTCGAGGAGGAAGTCATGCAGTTAAATCAGGTGGGACGTTATTCGAGTACCCCGAGAATGGTACGGAGGCTATGTAAACAGTGTAGAGCGCACGGAATGGTTCACCTAAAAAAGAAGTTTCACGCGAGTACACAAATTCTTGAAAGCACGCGTTGACATCATTCCACGCCACTGGTATATACTATAGACATGGGTAGGCGCGACGTCAGCCAAACCACTTCACCAGACAAACTATTAAACTATTCGAGGTACTTGATCGTAGTATGAAGTATGCCACAAAACGGGCACTAGCATTTTTCTCGATGACCCATGACATACACATTGAGAGCCAACGTCGCGTACGCGACGACAATATGCTTTCTGTTTCTCCTCACATTAGATGATCGACAAGTTTGGTGCGAGGTGGCGAGCGCTGAAGCCCCAGGAGATGAAAGATTGGTCTACGGCTGAGGTGGAGCGGGTCTTCACTGCGCTTGGCGACTGGCGTGAGCAGTTCCAGGAGCACCAGAGCAAGGTACGCGCGCGAAAGGGAAATGAGGCCAAGGGTATGGAATCGAGTGATGCCCGATTGGAATTTTGTCACTTTCACCGAACTATTGTAGACGGCGGGGGGGAGACGAAATACACCGTTTTGTCCTTCTGAAACTTGTTCCGTCTTGACAGAAAGAGTTCCTTGAGGAGGGTAAAAGGGACGAGGGTTCACTAGCAGTCACCCCTGCAGAGAATATTGATGTTCATGTCATGGCCCGGCCAGCTTTGGGAACACAATCTAGGGTGTTAGGTTAGGTTTTGAGATACAAGAGGTGAGGCGTGTTTACCCTCGTTGATGAACGAGCTCATATCATGTATCAAAATAGCCAGCTGGGGGTGGATGCTAACGACAGCGCACGCGTTATGGGTGGAAACGTCTACAACTAGGATGTGGATGCTACATAGCATGATCTTGCATCGGAAATACTGTATTTTGACACAAGCGTAAATTTGATCGCTATCCACACGCCTGCGTCAGGCGGAAACCCTCAAGGAAAACTGCGTGTCGTTCGGAATGCCGGCGCCACGACTGGAAGGGGTGGACGCCATCGAGGAAGACTTAACGGCCACCGAGTCAAGCTGGGCCCTCTACAAAGAGTACAGCTCCGAGCTAAAGGTGTGCGTGCCCTGCTGGGAACCTCGTGAGATTTTGACCAAATGAGGTCATGCTGCAGAACTGAGCCTGACATGCTGCAGAACGACCCAAACCCCGCGACAACCATTCTTCTTGGTACAAAGGGGGCGGTATTCGCAGAACAGATCCCAGCTTGAATGTATCCGCCATTCCGTTTTTTGTTTGCTTGTGTCTACAGGCCCTGGCGGATCAGGACTGGATCAGCTTCCGACCGAATGTCTTCGCGCTGCAAGACCTCGCCACCAAGTGGATCGAGGTCATCAAGGCCCGTCTTGCCGAGGCACAGCGAGCGGACACGGTTACGGAGCACATCCACCAGGCAGGTCGCCATAGTGCAATTCACCCCGCGTTTTTCATCACTCGCCTTCTGGATGCGCGTGGTTTGACACAACGTCCGTGGGAGTGTTTCGATGCACCATCATGGGTCAGAGCTACCTCCCCACTTGTCCGACGTATTTCCGGTCTTGACCAGAGTGCTTCTAGCCTCTTGAAAGGCGTTGGGCTGAGCACCCTCGAGAAAATTACAAATGTCTTACTTCACGGCTTTGGTTGGCCTGAAAAGCGCACGGCTTGCGTTGCCCTATGCGAACTTTGGTCAAATGTATGTGTATCGTGGACCAGACGTTGCAGCCTCACAGGCTTAATGAAGAAGACAGTATTTGGCCACAAGCTCGTGACGTCTATGCACTCTCCTTGTTGCGGACGTGTCGAGCTTTAGAAAGCGACTGATACATACCACGCGATACAACGCTACATGAAAAAGCACCTCTCTCACGGAAAACTAAAGGCGAAATCGAGTGAATTCTCGTTCTGCTTGCTGTGCTCGCCCGCCAATCATTTTCTATTCATGCAGGAGCTGGAGCGAATGAGAAAGGCAACACCCACCCTAAAATATTGTAGAGGCGAGCCTTTCAAGGAGGAGCATTGGAGCGCACTCTTGCAGGTGCGGTGAAATCCCGATTTCAAGGGCGGGGGAGGGTGGCTCGCTCCTTGTAGGCTATAGGCGTGGCGTCCTGGTTGCTTGTGGATGAACTTTTTTTTTTGGAGCCGGAGAAGACAAACACAGACGTCACTTGTGTACTGGACCACAAACTTTGAGTGTTTCAGGCACGCTCTTCTGTGCATGAAGGAGGGTTGGGAGCGCACTATTCCGCTCTGTCATCACAAGCCCCCCCTCCGTTGCAAGCGTTTTGGACTCCATGACAACAACGTAGGACACTGCCACACAACGCCTGACATTCCAGCTATAGTCTATATGGGCTTCAAGCACGCGTGCGTGTCCTGACGAGTTCCGTCTGGTGCGCTTCGTTGCCCGAGTTTGATAGGAAATCTACGTAGATTTTTCGCCGAAAATCAGTTTTAGATCGAGCCTTTGCGGAAGGCCTTCGGAAAGGTCTTTGGAGACCTTCGTTCAAGCGAAGCAAGACCCCGAACGGACGTGTGAATGCCCAGCAGCCAGCAGTTGGGATCTTCGGGTGGAACGCTCTGGCTGGCTATGTGGTTATTGCTTTTTGAAACGTCGGGTGTGGATCGCACAGGTTGTCGAACGCCTCCAGCAGCAGGGCCTTTCCGTACGCCATGGGTCCCAGCACCCCCTCCTGGCTTGAAAGAAACGTTAACGTTGCACTATGCATTCGGAAACATGCCGTGTATCCTTCATTCTCCCTCGCCCAACAACCAATGCGGTTTGTTTTCCGCAGGGAAAGCTTGGTCTCGACCGCAGCGTGCGTCTGGAGAACCTCATGGTCAGCCACTTTTTGTCGGCGATGGACCGCTTGGCGGACCCGGCGCTGCTGCAGTTCGTCAAGCATCTGCAGTCAAGGGCACAGGGAGAGGTAGGCACGGCAGTTCTCTCTCCGCTCTGGTCGAACAAGACCATCGACATTATTACTGAGAAGTCATGTGCCACGTTGTTAGAGCACTGCTCACAGCGTTGGGATTTCTAATGGTTTGAAGTAAGGTTTGCGAAGGCGGTGGGAACAACATCTACTGCATGGAATGTAGCGCCCGGCCGGGTGATTTTTGTTGGTGTCGCGCGTCTTGAAGCCCCTATGATTGACGGTCCGGGACAGTGTCGGTCATTTCAGCGGGACATTAATATTCCGAACCCTCAATTTTTCGAAACTATTTTCGCAACACGAAGGTTACCATCCGTGAGGCTCTCCAAGAGCTGGTGGCATGGTCCCAGACCGCCGAGCTCAAGCTGGTCGATCACGAGGAGAACGGCCGGAGGACCCCGCTCATCCGCGACTGGGGCGACGTCTTTCTCGAGCTGGGCGACAAGCAGAGCCTGTTGGCGTCCCTGAAAGAGAGCCAGTTCTTCAAGGCCTTCGAAGACCAGGGAATCACGTACGAGGTGCGCCGATCCGTGATCATGCTTCCGAACGCGCTGTTCTTGCTTGTTTACGACACCACCGCGAATGCCAGAATTTAGAGATACCGACACTTTTTGGACAACTACTGTCGCAAGCATGGTGTGCCTTGCTGGGTTTTGGGAAGAGCTCCAATGGACCTTTCGAGGGCGCCCTAGACACTTTGAAAGCAAGTGACTTCGAAAGGAAGTGACAATATTTCAATAGCCTCGCAGGCGGGGGGAAATCATGCGGCGAAAAGAGCACGAAAGCATTTCGCAGCGTCAAGGAACCTAGGTCAAGGTGCACAGGTTGACACATTCACAGTAAGCCGCTTCTTTTTCTAGTCCGCAAAACCCGTCTTTCGTGGTGGCCGCACACAACACCACATTCTGTCCAGCCAAGACACACTTTTATGTTGCTGTCTGTGCCGCAGGTAAAGCTCGGCGTGTTGGACTACGCTCTGCACACCCTGAACCAGATCCAGAGAAAGTGGGTTTACCTCGAGCCAATTTTTGGGATGGGCGCCTTACCGGCGGAGCAGGGACGATTCCGCCGCGTTGAAGAAGAGTTTCGTGACATCATGGCCAAGGTTGGTGTATGCCGTCAGGTTGCATGCCTGCATGAATGGTCCCTGACGACTCGCGAGTCGCCTCTGTACGAGCGACAATCGGCATTTGTACGGCATTTCCATTTTCGTGGCCTTGAATTGTCTAATTTAGGGTCCAGGGTCTGCCGCCGCATCACACATGCAGCTACAGGCTCTTCCAACAAACAGCGCCAACCCTGGAAACGCATAGTTTCAGTTTTTTTTTTTTTTTCTGGAAGGATTCTTTTCTAGGAACCCACATATATTCTGCCAACACCCCTCTCTCGCATGCTGCATTACCTACCCCCCATATGTCTTGCCACCGTATGGCGCTGTTCATTCGGTGTTCAACCAGGTCGAGATCGACCGTCGCCTGTTCTCGTTGGCGGATGAACAGCTTTTCCCCGACCTCCGCGGGCAGCTGGGCGCGTCCCTGGATCAGTTGGAGAGGTGGGTGCACAGTGAGACTTGGCTGTCACAGGTATTTGTGCCTGGTCTCTTGGGCAGCTCGTGCGCGACGAATGGGGGTGAAAACGGAATGCTCAAGGTCATACTCCCTCACTTCCATTGAGTCGTCTTCCCCTCGACACGCTGGAGAGTGCGTTGATAGACCAAAACACACGTTGCACCAAGTTCTTGTGCTCCGCAACACAACCCCACATGCAAATAACCTTTGAGTTTTCTCCTATATATATACAGATTCCCGTTTTTGGCCCATACTTTGCACGCCGTAGCATGGACTGGAACGCCCCGAATCTACACATTACTGGTGATGGCCGTAACTGACTGTCATAACTATCGCATGAGACAGGTGCCAGAAAGCCTTGTCCGACTTCTTGGAGGAGAAGAGGTCGGCCATGCCAAGGTTCTACTTTATCGGTGACGAGGACTTGCTGGAGATTCTAGGGCAGGTGAGGAAGCGAAAGCTCTCTCCTCGCACCTTCCTCATGTTCAACCAAACATTCCAAGCGCGACCACCATCGGTCGCCGTTATGGTGGGGTCTTTGAGGGCAGTAGCCGCTCGCTGCAACCGACAGTTTGACCGCGTCAAATCAGAAACTAACGGTAACAAGCCGAACCGCAAAACGGTTGGCCAACGTGGCACTGTGCCTTGTCAAGCAAGTCCACTGACCATACCGGTAACAAAACGGTCGGGACTACTTTCCCCCTGTCTTCTCTAGGCGAAGAACCCGACTATCATCCAGGCTCACCTCAAGAAGCTTTTCCAAGGAATTCATGGCGTGGAGTTCAACAAGGAAGAGACGCAGATCATCGCTATGCTCAGTTCTGCCGGGGAAAAGGCAAGTTTCTCGCTCTTTTAGTTGTCAGAGAAACAACTCCGAGCGTGCGGGATGCTGTCGGTTGTCTCGGAAGGCGTGTTGCAGCCGTGCAAGTTGCGCCGACGAGTTTCATGAGCTGATAACGTTTATTGAAGAAGACCGGTTGTGTCTCGAGGCAAGTTCAAAGCATATATGCGTTGTGATGGCCGCAATCTGTCCTCAAAGCTTTCCAACCTTCGATGTTTGTCGCACCGTTCCGAAGGGGGCTGACCTACTCTGTCATGCCAGCCCCGTTTGGTTTCCCGCAGACACGGGAACTGCCTTAATCGAAACCCTTTTGGCAACTATGTCCTGCAGCTAGGTGTTCTCTGTGTCTTTACCGCCGAATACTGGTGTGGGGAGTCCATCCCAGTGTTCGAGTATCAGCCCCAACCTCATACGCCTGGGTGGACGCAGGTGTCCCTGAACACCCCCGTGCCGGTGTCGGAGAGAGTGGAAGAGTGGCTGGAACACCTTAACGTCGAGATGAAAGGAACCCTGACGTCTCTTCTTCAGGAATGCCTGCGTGGGCAGATCGACTACGAGCGGTTCCCGAGCCAGGTGGAAAAGTAGCGAGCGTGATGTGACGGACGGCGATAGCCACCTGTTGGCGGCAGTACCTATCAAAGATGGTAGAAAATGCTTGTCGAAAGGGCTGTCACTCGAAACTGAGGTATCCCGCGGTTGCTAGCGCCTACTGTAGAGTTTGACGACGGTGCCTGGAAGGCAGATAAGGAAGGATGAGTGCCGGGTGCATTTTGGACCACGTGTTGTCAGATTTGCGTCGAGATCCCGCCACAGATGACGGCATGGTCGATGTCAGCAGAGGGTGCGCCGGCACGATGAATCTTCCGTTCTTCCAGGGGGTCGCAAGATGGCGACTAACATTCCGAAGTCATCGCGCTCTTGACCCCTTCAAAGTGATGCTCCGTCCCACGCTCAAACATTCTTGCGGTTCCCAGTTCCAAATTAACACGCTGCTCGCGCGGGTGCGCTCCCGTTTTCGTCGCTCTACGATACCATGTTGAATATTGCAGCTGCTGTGCCTCGCCGAACAAATCAAGTTCTGCGACCACGCGGAGGTAGCCGTTTCCCAGGTGAGCGAAAGGAAGCCGCAGGTTATCCCCCGTGGTCGAATGTTAAATAGTTCTTGTTTGAAAGAAAGCGGTTATACAGCACAGTTTCAACTTCGTCCTGCCGTGAAACACTCGGGGTGGGGCTGACAAGATTAAGATTTAGCTCTGACAGTCGGAGGGTCGTGCTTCGCCCGCGGTTAATGTCTACCGCCTTGAAGCACAGTAAACGACGATATTATTGTGGCCTCAAAAACGTCCTTCGGGGTTATACAGTACTTCATGACACAAAAAATGCAAATCCGTGGATAAAGCAGCATCGCCAATCACTTGCGAGTACCACGTACGCGAGCTGTCAAAAAATAGGGGAACATGGGGGAACTGATGATTGTAATCTGGCAAAACACCAACCATAATCCAAGAACGAAATAGGGTCTTAAACACCCACAATCGGCAATCTTCACAACCACTACAAATGCGTGGTATCCTTGCGATATATAACGATTTCTCCCACCAACTTCTTGATGTTTTGCAGGGTGATGTGAGCGGGCTCATGCATCCTCTTCGGCAGCTGCTGGAGCAGTACACCGCCTACGACCTGTCGTCACGGCCCCTCATGCAGCTTAAGATCAAGGCACTCGTACTGGACCTGGTGCATAGCATGGACGTCGTAGATCAGCTTCAGAAGTGAGCTTGGTTTGCGACACAAGCCTTGGTTCTTGTTTTTGTTGTTTAAGGATATCGTGGTGATGGTGGCAGCGGTGGTGGTGGGGGTTTAGCACCCGCTGCTGCTAGTAGGGACCACGCCCACCGAAGGCGCAAAGAAGATTCTCCGACTGGTCATCCGCGAGACAAGTTTAGCGTTGAAATCGCTGTACTGTTGTCGTCGTGTAGAACACTCGAGCTTTGTAGTTTCACGACTCAATTTGACGGGCTTCACCTTATCGTCACTTGCTAAATACGCCCATCCTCTGCCACCATGCGACTGCGTTCGGATACATGTTAACGCTCTGCGGTATGATTGACCAGGAACGCCGCCGAGTCGGTGGACGACTGGATATGGCAGAAGCAACTGCGATACTATGTCAAGGGCGGGAGCGCCATCATTAAGATGAGCAGCGCGAGGTTCGGCTACTCCTACGAATACCAGGGAAACGCCCCAAAGCTCGTGCACACTCCCCTCACCGACAAGTGCTATCTAACGCTGACACAGGTGATTCAATACCGGTTCTGTCTTCGTCATCGCCGATGTGATTGGGTCCAACTAGTGCGCGTTCGCTTCACATGTCGAAAAAACCGTGCGTACCTTCACCGAGTGTCCCCGAGCGTGCCAATCCTTAAGGGTGAACAAACTTGTCCCATATGAAATACCAAGGTGTTTTACGCTTAGCAAAAAGTTCAGACGCATTCTGCCTACCAAAGCACAGTTGAGCGTTGAACTCTGCACGAGTGCTGTGGCAGGCCGTACCCCAGACCATCGCCATGTCGCGGAAGCAGAGGCGCCAGAACATGGACCGGCCAAAGCGTTCTCCCCCCCCCTACACGGGGTATAAACGTTATCAGGATTGCATTGCACCAACATCCTTTCGCCATTTTCCTCCCCGTGCAGGGCATGCACATGGGCTTTGGAGGAAACCCTTACGGTCCCGCGGGCACAGGGAAGACAGAATCTGTCAAGGCGCTGGGGCAAGCGTTCGGCCGCCAAGTGAGGCGCCCCTACGCGTACATGTCGTTGTTGCTGCTGAAATATTTTCCACCCCATATTTTTCGTCATGGTAGCATAGCGAAGGGTCAGTTTCTATTTGGCCGTGCGAGGTGCTTGTGGACTGCGTGGAAATTTTTGGGAGTGTTGGCGGTTGGTGCCCTCTACATGGTGTGAAAGCCCGCCGTACCTGCGGAAGCTATTTTCCATAGTGTGCTCAGGGTTCCTTGTGAAGGGGCCCCGTCGTTAAGCAAGTCTTGTGGAGGAGTCTGTTCCGCAAGTCTCTAGCGCTAGTTTCGGGAAACCTCGCAATGGCCAATCAATAGAGACCGGAGAGCGCGTCTATTACAGTGACTCCTCACTCACCATACAGTTTCGGCATTCGGTTGGGGGGCGTGCATACTTATTTCGCCGCTTGTCCCGTGCCCCAAAACCATTCACGGACCTGAAGGTGCTTGTGTTCAACTGCGACGAGGGAATCGACTTTCAGAGCATGGGCAGGATCTTCATTGGCCTGGTCAAGGTACGCCCTGATTCAGCGTAAGACAAGCCGTTGTGGGTTACTGCCTCACGCATAAAAGGCATTCGCGTGCGAAAGCGTGCAACACAAATAGGGAAGGTGCAACGCCACAGAGTACGTTGTTCGGGACAACAAGCAAGCATAATATCCGTGAAACAACCTGCTGTCAAATGTAAATTGATGCGTGCGATTGACGACATATATTTCTCACTTTCCTTCATCTTCTCGGGATTGTTAATCTCGTTCTCGCCTTCTTGTTCATCGTGATGTCACAATGAGTAAGAAGATGCACACGATGAAATCACAATGAAGAAGAAGACGAACAAGACGAACAATACCAAGAAGGTGATGAAGCCGATGAAGGTGTGGAAGTGGGTGTTTGAAGACGACTTTTAGTCGCCCGATACAGCACTATCTTGGAAAGGATTGTCGTCACTAATTTCATGCATCGATAATACTACTGTAGACAATCGAATAACAGTCTATCTTTCGTGCTCGCTACTGTAGTTGCACCTGACATTGTACTATTTTGGCGCTACCACCTTCTCCATATTTACTAATTCTGTCCCTCATACAATCGGTCGCACGCGATTCTTGCCTTTCAACTGCACAAGTATGCCACCAGATGTTTATGCGCTAACCGTCGATTTCAACTCAGGCCAAAAGATCGAAAGCAAAGGATTTTTCTTTCCCGAACAAAGTTCGACCAACGAAACCTGACTAGCAGCAGGTGGAATGACCTCGCATCAAGGATATTGCGTCGTTGTCAAAACCCTCAGCAAGCGTTGAGTGCATGACACCCGGACAGCACAGTCTCTTCATCAGCATGCCCCACCCTCCTTCTGCTAGCATTCTCGGCTGGCGTGATTTTCCAACCCTCGCCGCCTTGGATTCTCTGCACGCTTCATCTTCCAGTGCGGTGCCTGGGGCTGCTTCGACGAGTTCAACCGCCTCAAGGAAGATCAGCTGTCGGCCATCTCGCAACAGATTCAGATCATCCAGGACGCCATCAAGGCTAAACGACCATCTCTGAGGCAAGAGTTAACGATCGCAGTACAACGTGCCTGTGGCGTTGAGCCGCTTCTTCAACGCGTTCTTTGGGATCAAGGGATGTCGGCTCCACTTACCCCTCGTCCTATTCTCCTCCTCGGCCTTTCCAAAATCCAGGATTCTCGGTCGGGAAATCGATGTGGACTTGAACGCCGGAATCTTCGTGACCCTGAACCCGGCAGGGAAGAAGTACGGAGGTCGCAGCAAGCTTCCCGACAACCTCAAGGCGCTCTTCCGACCCGTTGCTATGGGACGTCCGGACAATGAGCTCATTGCCGAGGTGGGTTACTTGAAGTGCAACAGCGGTGTGGTGGGAGAATCTCTCGAGTCTAGGCAAGGGATTGCGAATCCCCTATATAGCTCGTTTGGGGCTGTACAAGCGCCACCTGTGTCAGAGAGAGCGGCAGATGCGTTCCAAAGATGTCGAGCCTCTCAAGCAGAGTTCAGTGGCCCCACAAGTTCCTGCTTCAAACCCGTAGAAATAGGAAGGGGTCCACACACCGCCTTTTCAATCTCGTTTTGGATCAACTTCTACAGCCAACTAGACTCCCGACCCACGTAGGCAACATGCGATCTCACTCGTTTACTCCCCGACCCATCCGTCGAGAGCTGTATGCGCAAAATGTTCAAACCCATTGCGCCAATCTTATTGACTTGCATGATACCACGTCGGTTCTTGATCCCTCCATTCTTAGTTTTGTTCAACCGTTGTCCATGTGAAACCCTAGGTGATACTGAGCTCCGAAGGGTTTACTGGCGCAAAGGACTTGGCGTCGAAGATTGTGTCTATGTTCACGCTGTCGAAGCAGCTATTGTCCAGGCAGCAGCACTACGATTGGGGACTTCGGGCTTTGAAAGCGGTTCTCAACACTGGCGGCAAGCTCATTCAGGTATGGTTTGACCTCTCCCCATGATTGTCCTTATCGTGGCTGTTTGAGTTCCACTCTTATCTAGCCGCGCATGTGCCTCCGCAGACGTCCGTGTCCTTCCTCGCCGCAAACTCCATGCCCAAACCCCGTTTCTGCCCGCCGCTGCTCCTTCTTTTGTTTTGTTGTTGTATTTCGATGCAACAACACAAAAAAGGCGGCGAAACGAGAAGGAAATCCTATCGACGCTGCCGGCGAGCGTGAGCTACTGATCAAGGCGGTACGGGTCAACACCCTGTCCAAGCTCACCTACGGCGACACCCGGCAGTTTCTCGCTCTCATCGGGGACGTGTTCCCGGGAGCGGAAAGCAGTGACATCCCTGGGGTAAGGGAGGACACAGGATTAACCGGCGGGGAATATCTTGTTTCACCATGTCTTGTTCGTACACTTCGAACCAATCGGCTTCAAACTCAGCTCACTTACAAGTACAACTACGACTTCCTCTGTATTCATGCTTGCTTGGCAAGACTCGGGCGGGACGATCAAAAACTGGGATGTTGCGGTCCTTGTCAGGCGCTGAAAAAAACCAATCGCTTTCTGTGTAGCCTGTCGATAAGCCACCGAAACCGTGTTTGCCGTGAAATGCTCAACCGTGCCTAAGGGTGAGCTGGAGGAAGCTATCCGCGAGGTGATGACGGCGAAACCATTTTTCCTGGAGGTCAACGATGCGCAGGCAAGAGTTGATTATCGAGAAGGTTGCTGGTGAATTTGTTAACCCGGGCGTTTCCGTCTATATGTTCCAACGAGGCACCGAATAGTGCTTGCAAAACATGCTTCCAACGTACGTTGAGTAGCACCGGAGGCTGCTTCTGAGGCATAGATCACATGGCAGATTTCCAAAAACCCAAATCTGAAACTTTGGTGCCCTGTTAACAGCAGCTAGAAAAAGTATGGAGTGGACAATGTTGCGTTGCGTTGAGTGGGTCACGAGGTTTGAAAGGGGGCTCGTTGTATCGCCTTTCACCAACCCGTACCACCGCCAAACAAGCGTACGCAAGTACTAAGTCTAGATCAACCTTGACCCATATTTTTGCATACACCAGGTGCGCAAGATGCTGCAGCTAAAGGAGGCCTTAGACCAGAGGATGGGTTGCGTCATCGTCGGCCCTAGCGGCTGCGGGAAGTCCACCCTGTGGTCAATCCTGCGACACGCCATGATCAAGTGCGGGCAAGCGGTTAACACCCACGTGGTCAACCCCAAGAGCATGCCTCGCCAGGTCAGATAATCTCGCGGTACCGGGCGTGTTAGTTACTTCAAGGACACCCAACCTTGGGCACATTACATGATTTTCTCCAACGATACCTGGTATTACTCATTCGAGTGACTCCGCACTGACCTGGACATACTTTTAAATACCAAGAGGCGCAAGGTGTGAGCGAATCGATCATGCATGCTGTCGCGGTAACAACAGCGGATGCCCTATGGTTCAAAGACGATTTCCAGAAAGTTCAACGGGCCAGAATGAAACCGTGACAGTTGCCCTGGAGTGGCCCAAACTGACCCTGGGGGGGGTTCGTGCCTTGCTTGATGATTTTCACGGTTATGGGCGCACGGAGTGATGAACACGATAAAATTAGCCCAGAGCGAGGCAGGTAAGACCTGCATCGAAACCACCCCTCTGTGCGCTTGCAAGACATGGGGGGTTTGTTTTTTGCCGTGCACCTTGCCCCATCAGCAGAACTCTCCCTAAAACCTAAAAGGAAGATCGATCTGTGGTAATCGGTGCGTGCCTTCAGGTATTTCTTCACGGTGGTGCTGATCTTGATTTAAGTTCACCTTACGGAAGCACCTCAGGAATACAGGGCGTTGCCGAAGTCGGTATAGTTAATCTACGCGTGAAAATACCGACCTTCTCTCCCCAATCATCTCGTACGCTCATCCCCGCGCGCCTGCCAGAGGCTGCTTGGGCACATGGACTTGGATACACGCGAGTGGTTTGACGGGGTGCTGACCGCCGCTGCCCGGAAGGTCGTCAAAGAGCCGCCAGAGGTGAGCAACGACATATACAAGATACCAACAAAACGACCGCGTCAGTTGATGGGCCATGGTTGCCCCAGTTCCCAAGTGTTTGTTAGTTGCCTGAACAAAATGTACCAAAACTTCGGAAGGATTATTATTACCCATTCGGTGTTTCGATATGGGCCCTCCAAGCTGGAACGCAACGGTGTCGTTGGTCTACCGTTGCGTAGGTTAGATACCTCGGAGAGGCACAATGGCTGACTACCAAGGTCGTTGTAGACGCGCGGTTGCATCGACATCTCCAGCTATTCGCGATGCCCCCTCCTAAGTACGTGACACACCCCTTTTCAAGGAGAGCTTGCAACCTCCTGCTCGTCTGATAGTCATACCCTCTCTCTGCTTCGGCACTTTTCGCGATCCTGCGCCAAGCTCCCTCTTGAACAATGAAACCGCCATGAAAATACCAGGTGAAGTCGTGGTTGGTTTGCGACGGGGACGTGGACCCCGAGTGGATCGAGTCTCTTAACTCGGTGCTGGACGACAACCACCTCCTCACGCTGCCCAATGGCGAGCGGATCAACTTCGGAAGCAACGTCAACTTCGTCTTTGAGACCCACGACCTCAAGTTCGCTTCGCCTGCGACAGTCAGCAGAATGGGTGAGAGACAGTTGGACGCTCGCTGCTCGATTGTCGATCGGGTAACGGCCACAGAGATGGACTCTACTGTCGTAGTCCTGCCGGTATCTTGTCAGCTTTCAACCATGTCTGTTACGGGCCTGGACATCCTTGATTGGCTAGATGTGCCATTGTATTGGAAATAGCACGAGTTCCTTGGGGTCCCGTCACACCCGGCACAGTCGGCCAATTTGGGGAGGGGCGAAGGAGTGCTCGCTTCATGGCCCAATGCACACACTCAGCCAGTGACCAACCCGGTACGACCTCTCGCTTCGGTCCTACTCTTGCTCAGGCATGATATTCCTCTCCGACGAGGACGTAGACGTAAAACGTCTCCTGGCGAGGTGGATCAAGACACAACCCGAGGACCTCCGAGGGGGCTTGGCGGGCTGGGTGGACGACATGTTTTATAGGTGACTGCTCGCCTGGCGTGTTCGAACTCCATTCTTTTCTATTTTTGACGTGGTACGTACGGACATTGATGATCATGATTTGATTATGTTTTTTTCTCCGTTGTGCCAAATGCTCTTCTCGGCCGGAAAACGTAAGTCGGATTTTCGTTTTTCTCGGTGTTGGATGAGTTGGCCTGCAAATACGAACCTTGTCATCTCGTCGCATCTAGATAAACGCAACATTTCCGTGTGGACATGGTTGACATCAATCGATGTGTCGATGTGTAGGACAGGATGCGAAAACTCCAGCCTTCTGCGTGCCTGGCAGCTATCACCGCTCCCAATGCACGCCGAGGCCACGGTTCGAAGCTTGTTTTGAACAATTTCCCTTCGTGGTGCATCGCAGGGGTTTGGACTATGTGCTGGATCGGGAAATGGTTGTAGACACCACATTGGTGGGCACTGTCCTCAACGGCCTTGTTCAGGTAAGCGGCACTTTTTCGCAACTCAAGCATCCAAGGAATTTCACGAATCAGTACGTGTCGCAGTTTCTGTCACGAGGACCCCTCCAGTGAGAATTTTCCGTTCGATAAGGACCAAGTTGCGTATGTCAAGGCACCCGTGACGCCTTTGCGAATGTGACATGTCTCACGTCAGCGTTAACATGTTTGTCCGTGTCCTTCGCCATCACCTGAAGTGACCTTCACTGAAACAAAAAAAAAAAACTTCGGGTACCTTTACAATGAGCAATCATAGGCTACGACAGCCGATGAAACACGGACGGACGGATACGTTCATCCCTTCCTCCCGTGCGCCTTCCTGTCTTTCCTGCATCAGGTGGCGGGTTCGACCTCGAAGGCGGACTTCGCATGCGGGGTGATTCGAGGACTCGGAGGAAACCTCAGCCTCGCCGACCGAAACTCCTTCGCGAAAGAGGTGATAACTGAGTCAATCTCGTTCGAAGTGTGTTTTCCGAAAAACGAAGATCCCTTCGTGAAGGGGTCAGAACACAACGAGGAGTGAATCCCTCACCTCGACAGGCATCCCATGCGAACGTGCTGGCGAGAAGGATGCTGCACAAGCTTACCTATGGAGAGTACAAAGCGCCGGTGCTACGTTTCAGATGAAATGCCGTGATTCGTTTTCAGCGTTCCTCTGACGTTGAAATCGTTGTCCCGTATTTACCGCGACGTACATAGGTTTTCCAATGGGCAGGCGAACGGCCGCCGGACATCTCGTGCCCTCTAGACTGCTACAGCGACCGCGGCGCACTCACATCGTACCCTACGGTGCCCTCCGACGGGGGGCTGGGTGCCTCTTCTGACGACGGCGGCGGCGGCGGCTGTATCGGTCCTCAGTCGGTCGTGCCGACGGTATCGGTTCAGGTGAAGCGCTTGTGGGATCGTGCGATGTCAGAACCAGGCGGGGTATGCAGGTTGCGGGAAGCGCGGTTGTCTCGTGAAAGCGCTCGGAACGCTTCGGAGGAAAGTAGCAGTTCTGGGACCGCCTGTTTTGTGTGACCGCACCAGACCGATCACCATGGGGCAGCCACATATCCCATTTCAACGTCAACTTCCCTGGCAACGAACCACCTCCTTACACGCCACACGCTCCATACAGCCCCAAAACCTCCAGTCTGAAACGAAATTGATTCCCAGCCGTTCCTTGGTTGAGCAGAGAACCAAACACCAGTGCACCAAGCCCATGCCTTCTCATTCCGTCAACATAAATGGCACATTGGTCGCTCCTGCTTTGCGTGCGCGCACAGCGTGCTTTGAGCATGATGGAGCCGTGGATAGAGAACAGCGAGCCGTTCATCCTTGTAGGCCCCGAGGGCTGCGGAAAGGACATGATCATTCGATACGCGTTTTCGTCTGAGGGCGTGTCGCGTGGGGGTGGGCGACCACGAGCAGGAGGAGCGGGTAGCAAGCGCGTAAAGACGAGCATCACCGTGCTCCACTGCAACGCCAGAACTACGGCGGAACACGTCATCACAAAGGTAGTCATCTACGCCGGTTTTGGTTCATGCCAGAGGCGGGCCGCGTCTGAAGCACATACCTTTGTCAACGGCGGTTGGCTGGCGAGATATGCACCTCCTCGGCGACTGTCTTACGAACCTCCCTGAGTCACCGACCCATGTACTCGTACCGGATGGCCAAAGCCCTCCCGCTCGTTGCTGTGCTTCTGACAGACCTGCTGTCCACCGATTGCTCGGCTTCCCCTGTTTTGTCCGTACTTTGATCTTATCATCAAGGCAACCCTAGCACCAATGCACATCTCTCCATCATCCAAACCACGAAACGCCAAACCGCAGGTAGCCCAAACGTGCAGCCTTTTCAGCGCCCCTGACGGAAGGGTCTACAGACCGAGGGACTGCGAACGCCTGGTGCTGTACCTCAAGGACATCAACCTTCCGAGGCCCGACAAGTACGACACGTGCATGCTCATAGCGTTCCTGCAGCAGGTTCAGACGTTCGGCGGCTTCTATGACGAGGACCTCGAGTTCCTGCGGCTTGAAAGGGTTCACGTGAGTTGCAACACTCGAAGAGAGACACACGCAAGGCGTGGTGCCAGATTTTCACCGTTGCAGGGGAACCCGGTGATGTCGATACTGGTATTGAGGGTACTATGCTGCTTCTTGCTGCGTAGCAAGAAAACGGCCCGTAGAAAAGGGAGGGGTTCACGTTTTTAAAGGTCCCGTCTCCCGAACACCTGTCGAAGACGATTCCCTCATTTTCCACAGAACCACCAGCCTGACACACGCCGCACACTGCTGTTTGTCAATTCAACTCTTGGATGACGCCCGGTTGGTTCGTGGTCTCTCGACCTATCGCCCCACTACCCCACCCAGCTGGTCGCCTCGATGAACGCGGCTACAACGGTGGGGCGGCACCCACTGTCATCGCGGTTCACGGCCACGGTAAGGATCGGCGTGCTTGACTATCCCGATGGGAGCGAGCTGTGCTCCGTCTACTCTGCGTTCTTGGGGAAGGCACTGGGCACAGGGTCTACAGATGCGAGGTAAGGGCGAGGTGAAGGCGAAAAGGGCCCGGCCGGACCGCGGTAGACAGCTTTACGTCGTTTTGTCCCTTCTGCGGGCGGCAGCGGCTTGTTGCATGGTTCATCTTTCTCAGTACCTTCCTATGCGACCCATCATCTAGCACGTGTGACTCAGTGAGGCAATTTTGCGGTGAATCACTGTTGGTCCGATTCACGCACAGTATCCGATGCTGTTCGCACTTCTTGTGTTCAGTTGCGCAATGACGAGGGTCGTTTGCCAACTTTCCGCCCTCTGTTGCGAATTACGTTTATGGTCCGTTATATTCGATTTAAGATGGAGCAGGCCATCCGAAAGGGACAAGCTCTCCAAGATGATGGTCGATCTATACGATCAGGTGAGCACACACCGGAAAGTGTGTTCCAACGCATGCGAGCAGTATATATTGCCGAGCAAGGAACAGTTCATGGTATGAAGGGTCCGTTCAGATCTGGAGTTAGACCCCTAGGGTCGAAAAAAACAGCATGCTGTTCAGCCAGAACAATCACGGACTCAGCCAAAGTAGGCGCGCATTCCAGGACAAATGGTTGAACTCTTGCGCGGATGACCAGTATTCTCTAGGGCCGGGGCACTTCATGAAAATGTTTTCTATCTGTTCGAAGCCCTAGAGCGTGCCAACGGGCCAGTTAGCCCAATGTTTTCTACTGCCATCTTCGCTTCCACCCCGTTAGGTCAAGGGAAGGTTTTCGGTGGACGAGCATCGGCACTACCTTCTGACCCCACGTGACCTAACCGCATGGGTGCGGGGGCTGCTACGGTACGAGCTGAACAGCGAACAAGTGTTGGACTGCGTGGCGTATGAGGTGAGGAAACGTGTGCATACCCTCGCCCTATCGGAATCGCGAATTTGGAGGGAGTACACAGCATTCAATTTTCCATTCGCTGGACGACACGTCCTTCTGTGCCTCCCAATACCCTCTCTCCATCATCGCCAGAGATGGTTCATGCTCGTGTATTGCGGTTTGTCAGTGAATCGGCACCATCCCCACGACTACTCCATGCAACCGCTTTGTCGCGCTTGGTATTTTAAGCACACTCATGACAGCCTGTCTAATGCTCACGGTTGTCCGCATAAACGGGGAGGAACGAAGACGTTTCACTCGTTCGCTCATTCAATAGCACTCCAGTCATTGTGCCGTTTCGGCGTTACCAAAGGGTGCCCAAAACTGCTTGAACGCTGACGTTTGCGTCCGCCGTCTCAGACCAACCGTCACTGATACGGACATCTCGCGTCGTGGTAACGGTGCCGGCCAACGTTCTCGCTGAACCAATATCTTCCCATGCGCACCGATTTCGGTAACCGACTGAGCGCGAGTAACTCAATCATCGCGCATGCTTTATGATTGCATCCAACCCAGGCTCAACGGCTCTTTCGCGATCGGCTTGCCGACTCCGATTCAAGGACGAGATTCGACGGGATGCTCAACGCCCAGCTCCGATCCGTGTGGGGGCACACCGCTGACCTCACCGGGGTGGGTGTCGGGACAACGCATGCATTTGTGGCGCCAGTCTTCGGTTCCAACTACTGCCCCCGAACAATTTCCTCAATGTTTTCGCAAAAATAGGCTCAAAGCCATAGCGGCGGCCGTTGCTCGCCGAGAGGGTGCGAGCGGAGATAATCGGAAGTCCCAACCGGTGAACGTGCCTTCGGCAACCTTCGGCAACCTTCGGCAACCTTCGACCCCTGAGAATACGTTTAGGCATCTATCCCTGTGTCCTAGCTTGCCGCCTAAGAGATGTCTATTCCTCATTCGGCTCCTCTCTTTAGAAGTCAGGGGTACTCTGGAAAACGTTGTAGTGACAGCGTGTGTTGCGTTGCCGTCTCGATTGGTCCTCTTGACAACGAAACCAATCTATACGAAATGTTTGGCTCGGTGTTCGGTTGTCTCTTTCGTTTCTCCTCTTGTTGGATCAGATCTACTTCACAACTCTCGGGGAAGGAGTGCGACACGCCGGAGCCACTTCGGAAGAGCAGGACCTAGAGGTAGCACTAACGACACAAACGAATGACAGCCTTTGCCACTCAAGCTGCTGTTGTTGTGATCTGTCACTGTTGTTGCTGTTATCGCTTTTGTTGACTACCCGAACGCCGTGAATCGCTCCTGCTACGTGCGGGTTGTTCACCAAATGCCGCCGTTAGCGACAGAACAGGCGTTGTAGCGAACGCAAGAGAGGCGCTTACACCATTCCACTACTTGAAAACCACCACGCGCGGGTTGCTACGGCGGTCGACCCGTTTCGCATTAAGTGCAAAAACAACGTGCTCCGGTCTTTCTCGTTGTTTCACGGTGGCTTCCTGGCAAGGGTTGTGCGGCCGAGCAGGTGCTGAAGCGGTTGGACCAGGAGCGGCTCAAGGATGCTGTCAAGCAAGGCCTCGTGTATTTCGAAAGAGAGGAGAGGGACCTGCACATGCTCCTTTTCCCGGAGGTTCTCGACCAGGTGACCAAACCAAACCGGGCACGTGTATGCACAGTGGCTGGGTGTTCGTTGGTGTGTCGGTGGTATGAATGATGGCGTGGGTAGGTTCGGTGACAACGTTGTCGACCAATCGGTTGCACTTTTGCTTTGGCCTTGGTGCTCCTAAGATAGTACACTAGCATCGCTTCGACGGCCGGTGGGTGATTTTCATGCTCGGACAGAGGCTGCTTGCGTGGAGGCCAGACTCAGACTCATATCCACATCGACTGGACACCTTGCTTGTTCTCGGCCGATGGTTAAAATCAACGGATCGGGAGCGCGAATGCCCGACGCCGCTTAAAGAGAACATTACCTCCCTGGATTCTTCAACCCATCACGAACACGCCCGCCCCCCTGTGGAGCGCTCTCCCAAAGTATACTTCGTGGATCCCTTGCTTCCTACAGATTGCGCGTGTGGATCGTGTTCTGAGCGGTCAGGGCGAGCACCTTCTTCTAGTCGGTCGCAGCGGGGTGGGAAGACGGGAGGCCACGGTACGACAAACGTGTTGCGGTGCACGCTGTCGGTTGTGGACGTAGTGGCCTCCACATCGAAGTTTTCTAATGACGGTCCGTGTTTTGTGGCTTGACATGTGCCGGTCCTACTCAAAACGGTCGGCGTGTGTGACCACGGACTAAGACCGGGCAGGCTCGGTAGGACGAGGCCGGGCAAAAGGGGTGGTTTGTCAATTTTAGAGACGTGCTGGTGGCTGAGACAATCAGTTTTGTAGGGCCGTCAAGTCGGCGTGTCACTCATGCACTCATGGAAAAACGTACGTGGTAGTGGCGATGGAGGGATTGTTTTGTAGTTGACGGGCGCTCCTGAGCCAAACGACCAATCCCGAAGACATCATGTTGCTTGTTCCAGCAACCGTCGCTTGTTCTTCGTAGCACACGTCGTGCGCGTGAAACGATGCCGCGAATCACTCCTGCCACCAAATTTGTCACCCACCTGGAGCGAAAACCGACGCAGCATTTTCGCCCCAAGGCAGGACACAGATGCTCACCCTGATGGAAAAAACGTACACGAAGAACATTTTCTTAGACTACAAGAGAACAACCTATTTTATATACGGATACGAATGTCTACCGCGATGCGCCCAGGTTCTAGCCGCGTACATGCAGGGATGCGGCTTGTTCACCCCGGCGGTAACGAGAGGTTTCGGCTTGGGCCAGCTCGAAACGGTGCTCAAGTCCGCGATGCAAGCGTCCGGGGTGGAGGGCCAGCCATCTGTGCTCTTGATCGAAGACCATCACGTCACCTCGGACGACATTCTGGAGACGATAAACTCTCTTCTCAGCGCGGGTGAGGGGAGCGAGGCGCCCAGCAGATCAATTTCCCGGCACGATCTACCTCCCAGTCTTGCGGAACAAGCCCGTTGCGCGGAGGTTTCCGAATACCAGTTCCAGGAAATGTTGAGAACAACACCCCGACATACGAAAACGACACGTTGCACATGAGGCGTGCCCCAAAACCACACGGGTAGTTGGGGCCGTGTGTTATTTCTTCGATGGCATGCGTGTCCAGGATGAGTGGCTGAGTGAGCCTTACGTGATGCTAGGTGCATCGATAGAAATCACCACCACGATCACGCCTATCGAAACCGCTAAACCACCAACGTGGGGGACTTGACTGCCTACGTTTCCAACAGGGGAAGTGCCGGGGCTGCACAGCCAGGAGGAACTGGAGCCCCTGTTGGCACCTTTGAAAGAGCAAATGAGAGAGGACGGGAACCACAAGACGACCTACGACTTTTTCGTCAGCCGGGTGCAGAAGAACTTGCACGTGGCCCTGTGCATGGTAAGCGGTCAGGTCCAGCGTTTGTATTCCAAACATCGTATTCATGCGGTATCAATGTTGCACGTTATTTCTACCAGTGTGCGTAACCCCGTTCCATGCGGTGTCGTTGCATGTCCGCACCCTCACAACCTCTTGCGTTCTTTATTGTGCCGGGCCGACCAGGACCCCACCAACCCGCGATTTGCGGTCCGTTGCGAGTCGAATCCGGCCCTGTACAACCGGTGCACCTGCTTATGGTTTGGGCAATGGCGACGTACGAGCTTGCGCCTCGTCCCCAGGTGACAAACGAAACCATCGGACCGTGCAACGTCGAGAAGTGTGGTAATCTCCGCATCGTATCCCTGGAGGGTGTTTCGATGTTGTTGCCGTCCTCTATCACATGGGGTCACGCAAGCCCTACTGACGCGCTCTCAGTAGAGCTAGAATCAATGGGCTGTCCCAAGGGCAAGTCAAACGCTACAGCACGTTAATATTTTCTATCTACGGTGGGAAACAAGCATGCCGCACTAGGTAGATGCCGGATGTCGGGTAGAAGATGTCACACATATCCTGTCAGCTTTGGCATCACCTGCACCACAATTTTCTTGTGGACTCACCTTTTTTCGCCAGAATGATCGAGGGGGTGAGCGATCTATTGGAGGGGCGGGACACCGACGAGAACAGCTTGGACGACTTCGATGGCCGGCAAGAGGCGAAGCAAAGGTACCACATTATACATGTGATGGAAGGTGACGTAGACCAGCATATTTTTCATAATCAGAGGAACGAAAAATTGGAATGCGTACTGTTGGGAGTACCCCGCAGAAGATTCACAAAGAAGGGAAGAGTTTCAATGAAAAAACAAATACATAGTAGCGGAATCTAATACTAAACAGGGATCACTACGATGAGGACGCGGCGGAGTCTAAAGGAGGGGAACGGAAGAGCGCTGCCCGAGGAGAGAGCAAGACCGCAGGAGACAGCAAGAGCGCCGGGGGCAGTAGGAGGCGTAACGACAGCGGGAGAAGAGCAGCGCATAGCCCACCAGGTACCTGCCATACCCATTGCGTCCAGGAATAACCCCTTAGCTCTGCAGGGATGTGTATCAGCCATACGTCAAACACAGCGTCGGTTGCGATATGCGTCCTCTAGCCGATAGCAGCAAAGGCGGGATCTGAGACCACTTTATCGCAATTTTCTTTACCAATCTATCACGATGCTTGCCGAAACTCAGGTTGATGCTAGGGACGGTTCGCACTACCAGATTGAGACCACACAGATCCTCAGGTCGCCCTTACAACGCTAGACGTCGTATCTCTATCGTTTATCACGTCGCAGCTAATGTGGTGAATGGTACTTCGGGCACGCGTCTTGGTTGTCCACTAACGGGCGACCCGTTGTCACACACAGCACATGGTTTCATATATGGGCGCTGAATTTTGGTTGGAAACACACCATCCACATTCGAACCACACCAACGCAATCGAAGAAACGTGGAACGTGTCTCGGCATTTCCAAAACAAAATCCCACCCAGGCCTCTTGGGAGATGCCCTCGCGGACAAGATCGTAGAGATGCACGAGTCGTGCTCGGAGAGCGGCATGGTGGGCACAGACACTACGGGAGCAACAACGCCAGCATCCGGAGCCGGAGGAGGAGGAGGGCGGGATAGCGGGGCGGTGGGGAAGACTTCGTCCTCCGCGTCGGCTACTCCCAAGGAGTACGTGTCGTTCTTGAGGAGCTGGTTTGACATGCACGAATCAAAAAAGGTGAAAATAATGCTCAAACCACGAAGGATGCCGCGCAGCAGTTGCAACCCTTCTTTGTTGGAAACGCTTGCCGAAGTCTACTCGACTCGACTGGCATGCCATAACCGGTTGCCTCGGCGTTGCAAACGGTATCAGCTGGCACCGACGGGCTATAGGTAACCGATCACCTTCCCGTTGACAACATCCTCTTCCCGGACTACCGCGAAATATGCTAACCCACCATGTTGGCAGGGGTCTTTGCGAGAGGAGCTGGGACACCTAACAGCGGGTCTGAGCAAGCTAGAGGAGGCATCGTCGACCGTGGATGACCTCAGCAAAAACGCTGAGAAAAAGAAAAAGGAACTCCAAACAGCTCAGGTGCAAGGGCAGCGCCATATGCTTCCATCCAGATAGGTTCGAGTACATCTTCGACACAAGATGAAACCGTCAGAACGTCTGCCATTAGATGCGAAAAAACCTGCTCCAACAGCAATTCGACATCCTCCCGGATGGCTTAAGCTCGCGAACGTGAAATAAATTATCCCTTTGCCTGATCACACCACCAAACAGACAAGAACGGTGCATTCCTGTCTGTCCTGCGTGAAACGACATCAATATTTCCAAGTGGAACTGTGCTCAAGTGCGAAACAACCGTGATCGCTACAACAGGTGGCTGCGGACAGTGCCATGGAACAGATCGCGACGGCCCTCTCAGAAGCAAGTCTTCGTAAAGGAGAAACGGAGAGGCTCAAGGAAGATCTCGCCGTCAACGAAAAGGCCACTCAAGGCCGTAAGGGCGACATTGAACAGGTAAATTTTGATTGTGGGTTAGGAGGTAGGGTTGTTGGACGCGGAAAGGTGGCTAGAATATCCTTCACCGGGAGATCGACGTGAGCGGGGTTACTGGTCGCGGCCGCCTGAGGCGGTGTCGATGTATGTTTGGGGCCGAGCGTTGACTTATCAGCCTTTCAGCTACACGCTCAAAACCACATATATCCCACTGATACTGGGTGAACGATGAACCGCTAACGTAGTACTTGTACACCTTTCCGGTAGACAATCTTTGCGAACATGTGGCAGCACCGCGTGCTTAGCGTCGTTTTCGGGCATAGCTTCATTTTCTTCAAGCAGGACTCTGTCCGTACCAAGTTGGCAAGACGTTTCGATACCCAATTTCCTTTTCGTGAGCATCAGGCGTGAAGTGTGGGGTTTCGACTTGTATGAATTACCGTGTCGCTGATCTGATACCCGCCAGGAACTGAGCCACATCCAACCGGTCTTGGACAGCGCCAAGCAAGCGGTCGGACAGATCAAGTCCGACCACATCAACGAAATAAGGCGAGTTCAAGGATGACTCTTGGGTCCTCGTGCTCTTGTGGTGGTAGTTTCGGGTTGATGGCCCATTCTTCAGGTCGAGTCTACTGTCGTTGGCTAGACCAACTATTTCCTAAATTATGCGCGAAACATGTTTTCGCTTTTCTGAGGTTTCCATCCCAGGGGAAAGACGTTCGTCTTGACAGGTCATTGAATTTGGCCGTTGCCTTTTCTCCGGTCTCGCACCTGTTTCTGCCCAAAACATTGGATCAGGCCCCTCCCAGTGCGGTGACGTTTTTCCTCGCCTGGACCCCGGTCAGGCAGTGACTTCATTAGGTTCTACAAAGTCGCACATCAACTCTTATCTTACACTTTTCGCCAACTGTTCTCACGAGCGAAGTGCTCCCGTCAATCACGAAGGCGGTATTTTACTTTTTGGCAAGTCCAAAAATGCTGAGTATCCCACACCATGCTGCTGCATCCGGTTGCCAGGTCGCTCAAGATGCCACCGGAGCCAATCGCTGACGTATTGGGGGCTGTCCTCATGCTGCTGGGTATTCGTGACACGTCGTGGCTTTCCATGAAAAAGTTTCTCGGCAATCGTGGCGTGAAAGAAGACATTCTTAATTTTGATGCCCGCCGCATCGATCCTCAGCTTCGTGCAAAGGTAACACTTCGATGAATCCCGCGTAGGGGCGACAGAAACGGGACGCATGCCGTAAACACTCGAAATGATTATAAACGCACTCGAGACACGCATGTTATGGGCTGAGGGAGAGAGCGAGCCATGGTTGTCAACGAAAAACCGTACGGTCAACTTGGAGTGTACAAAAGCCTCTTAGCCTGTGAAGGAGAGGCTCGACTTTCAGCTCACCCCGTAAGTTGCTGAGAGGCTTCGAAATTGACTCCTCGTCTTTGTCCATCCTGGCTGAACAAAGAGAGCAAAAACTCGAAATGGTTGACGCTCTCAACATAGGGTAGCCTCCAGGGCAGTGCAGCGGCAGGAAAGGAAAAGGCCCGTACCAATATTTCCTTTTTTCAGGCAGCATATCCACGCTCAAGACGGCAAGCATTTGTACAACGTTGAAAAGGTGGTCTCAAGACAATCTACACGTTGCCCAAACAAGCGCGAAAAAATCGAAAATGCACGCGGAAAAGACTTTCCTCCGTTTAACGTCTACATTCCAAGCGTGCGAACGTCATACAATTGGCAATAGAGATAGTTGATGGGTGGCGATCTTTCGGCCGATTTTCATTTTGATTTTTTTAGGTTACCAAGCTCTTGACTCAGAAGTCAGCCAGCTTTGAGCACGCCAACATCTACCGCGTCAGCGTTGCCGCTGCTCCCCTCGCAACATGGGTCAAGGCCAACATCAAGTGAGAAAACAATACGATGAATTGGAATAACAATCTTGTTGAACTTCCCAGAGCCAGAGGACGCGGCATTCGCGTTTGGGCAGCACAGTTTGGCATGGTGTCTTGAACGCCGGCATGGCCGCCGTGTACTGCAGCGGCGTGGCCAGGGCTGCATGTGATTGAATCGAGGTCCACCAAACCGGAGGTCCACCCGGGGCATATACCGGACTCGAAATAATGCTCTTGGATCAGCCACTGGACTTTGCCTCGGTGGAGTTGCCAAGACGTTGTATGGCATCTGCTTGATAAGAGGTCACCCTTGCAAATTCTAAAAAATCCTCCTCTGCCTCCACGCGGCTGTGCGAATCTGGGACCAGGTATTCTACCATCTTGGAAAAGATCCAGCCGTTGGAAGAGGAGCTTCATGAGGCAGTAGCTGCATTGGACAAGTCGCAGGCCAGGTGACGCGACAATATCCGTTTGTGTTTCTTTTAACGGAAGGCTTTCGGTCGCCATAGAGAGAAGCGTTGTCGCAAGACTCTAGGCGGTCCAAAACGATGGCGTCGGCGTGCTACAGTAGGTTCCATGTTGCCAGAGGTCGATTGAAAAGTTCTGAAACAAAGGGAGTGCGAACAGACCAAGAAAGGTATGAGATACCTGAATGTTTCACTGACTCTCGTCGTATTTGTTGCTTGTTCCCTCCTTTCACCAGCTTGCTCACAATACGAAGTACTCAATCGATTCTGAGGGGCATCCCTTGACGAGTACAATTTTGTACTGTGAACCGTTGCCGCCAGTTTGGATTCACGTTCTCAGACAGACTTGAGGGTGCTACCGTAGAGGGTTTGAATGACCAGGTCAGGTTTGGCTCATCTGTAGGTCGGCCTGGGCACCGGCGAAGCTGAAGGTTTACGAAAAGCTCAGTCTTCACAGGGTAGCGGGTTTGGGGTGCTTCTCCGGTACATGCAACGAAGGCGAACCGCAAGAACCAACGATCGCCAATGTACTTACACCAATTTCAATACGACTTCCGATATGCTATTGTCGTGGGCCACAATTCAAGTGCTGCGGATATGACAGATCCCCGTCTCACCCCAGGTTTGGCTCCGTGAGGAATATTTTGGCTGTTGTTGCCGCTGCGGCGTGTTTGTCCCGTGTTGTGCCGCACCACACCCGACGACCTCACCACGTTTGTCGACTGTCTTATGCTTTCGTTGCCGTTCTTCCCTTGATCATGAAGGCTGACGCAGTGCGAGGAAGAGCTAGCGGCAATCGACCGCAAGGCGGCACAGCTGAAAGAAGAGTTCGCCCAGCGGTAAGGCTTGATATCCCAACGCGTGCGTGCCTCCACCAACCTACCCGCCTTTGCGATCCTGGCCTGAAAGGGGTGTGTCCCCCTTGCCCAGCACGAGGTCCCCTAGCCTTGAGGCGTGAATTTGATGGTGTACGGCGTGCGGAGGCGTTACTGATCCTTTCGGTGTTTGGCTGAAGCATCGCAACCTCTAGCCGAAGGACGAAAATACCAAAGAGGCATGGTTGCATCATGATTCTCGTTGGTTCTAGGACAAGCTCCCGTAAAGTTGCGCTTTTCGTACGCAACCAATGCATGCAGTACGTTGAAGAGGCCGCCTGAAGATCGCGGCAAACAGACTCGAACGGGCTGACAACCGGATACAACTAGGAACAAAGTTGATAGACACGCCACAGCACCGGAACTCCATCACTGAATGAAAACAGACAGACTCAGGAAACGGGCTCTGCCAAGCCTGCGTAGGGTTATTGCGTTGCTAGCCGTCTTTCCCTTAGCGCAGGCCAATGAAAGTGGCTCCGTCGAAAAGAGGTGGGTGGTCGAGGGTCAAATGAATATCTCTATGCAACTTATTCTTGGACGCCCCCGCGCGTTCACTGGTGGCAGGACGAGGGAGGCGGAGACGCTTCGTGCTGGGTTGGAACGGGCCCAGGGGATCCTGACTAAGGCGCAACGGCTGGTGTCGCAGCTCGGAGGGGAGCAACAGCGATGGCAGGACCAAGCCATGTCGCTCGCCGACGCGCTAGCGACGCTGCCCCTCAAGATGCTGCTGGCAGCTGGCTTCGCCACGTACCTTGTCAGGTAGGATGGACAAGAGACACAAGTGCCCCGTCGTGGTGTGAAATCTAGCGCATGATGGCGGATTGTATTTGATGTGGACGCAGGTAGCTGGGTAGCTCGGTTAAGGCGAGCTTTGCCTCGAAGGCGTTCTTCTGACCCTAAAGCCACGGCAGACCGACACCGTGCCATGAATAGCTGCAGATCCAAGCATTCAAGAAGATAGCGACGACTTGTGGTGCAGATCTGCATCCGAGCAAACAATGAACAGCCGGTTGCCTCATATCAATAGGAGGTGGGGGATACATAGTCTTCGAAAGGTCAGTTTCGATTCGAGAAGACACCTACACTGTTTTGAGAGATGCATTGGGGCCGTTGACTGTACGTTTACCGTGATTTATGCGCACTTCATGAACGTATGATTATGCAGTTGCGGGTATAACCGAAGAGGGCAGGTTCTTCCAACTACGGGCAGTTCATATTCGACATCCTGCCGACTTTCATCGTATCCAAGTATCTATTTCGATATTCCAGAAGTTCGTCTTCTGGCGGTGGGAAGCGCAAACGTTCTACAGCGGCGACACACATTTCCACGTTGTTGCTCGTAATCTTAACCCTGGCGCAGAGGGAGCTAACGCCGTGTAGTCTACGCCTGTTGTTTCCGTGATAATCGCAGACACCCGGAGAACACCCGGAAAGCCATGTTGGAGCTTTGGTCGGAGGCACTAGGTCTACCGCCTGGGTTCTCCTTCCGCGGTCTGATGTCCACAGAATCACAGCTGTTGGTTTGGAAAGGCGAGGGGCTCCCTGCAGATGACCTGAGCCAGGTGAGAAGGCCAGAAAAAAAATGATGAGAATGCACCGGTAACCCGAACGAACTTCGTTCGACCTTGTTCTTGTGTGGCCCCGCTGATACGCACAGGTATACCGCTAGGTGTAGGTTGACGCCAAGAAAACACGTGGTCACAACATATTCAAACTGGAAGCAGTAGCGCAAAGAAATACTCAAGGACAACCTTCCAAGTGAAACGCATGGTCGCTCCCCTCGTCCAATGCCGTCCCCCCCAAAACCACACGGACAACACTCTGAGTGACGCACCCAAGACCCCAGGAAGGGAGCTGTCGACTTCTTCACGACCGCCAAACGTCCTCAACCTAATTGGGTTTCTCTTTGACCCCCTCCAAATGCTGCACAGGAGAACGCTCTGGTACTGGCAAACAGCCCTGGGCGGGTGCCCTTCATCATCGACCCTGCCAACGCGTGTACCGCCTGGTTGCAGTCTTTCCTGGCAAAGGTGTGTCGATATGGCAGAAGTGTAATGCATGGCCACCGTAGTACTCATTCCAGATACTAGGGAATGGCAAGATATAAGGCACAGCCTTGTTCTGTGGTCAAGGCTATGGTACGAACTACACAAATTGCCGCAACTCCAATGTGACCGTGGGAGGTTTTGTACTGTGCTGGTCAATGGTAGAAGGAGAGCTGTACACAACACAAGGCATCAAGCACAACAAACGGAATCGATCGTTGTTGCTGAATACGCTTCCCGTTGCTACTTGCGCAGGACGCGAGCCGGCCTCTGGAAGTAGTCTCCGCGGCCGACGCACGTTTTACCTCGAGGGTGGAGCTGTCGGTGAGGTTCGGAAAGACGTTGCTTGTGCTGGAGTGTGACGGGGTGGAGCCCATGCTTTACCCGTTGATACGGCAGGATCTCGTGCACCAAGGGCCTCGCTATGTCGTGCAGGTCGGGGATAAGGTGAGGAAGCCGGTGACCAGCGACGGAATGGGCGGTTAGGCTGAGGCTTCTCAACGTTGAGGAGTATCATACGTTTGGCTGGGCTGATCAGGACGGTCCCCGTCATAGACATGAATGCGACGAATGACACGAAACGATGTGTCGTGAGCGACACATGCCAAACGTTCCAACAATCCTGTGAACGACGACGAAAATCATTCGCAAAGGAGGACTCATCGCGAAGACTACCCGCAGTGGGTAAGACTAGCGAAGGTAGTGGACGGTGCTGTAGTTTGTGTTTAGCGGGCAGGTTGAAAACGCCGACCGAAATTTTCATTTTCCATGGCAGCACAAACATATTGGATCCCTACGTCTTTTCGTTCGATGTCTAAAGCCATCTTCAGTTTGCGATTCCCGACGCATGACAGCCCCCCCCTTGCCCTACCCGCTGGGGACGTCAACCATCTCCAGCTCATGGACTACAACGAGAACTTCCGACTCTTCATGGTGACGAGAAACCCTAAACCAGAGCTTCCACCGGACGCAAGCGCGCTGGTGTGCGAGGTCAACTTCACGGTCACAAGGTTTGTCCGAAACATCATCCGCACATGATTTCAACGGGTTGCTACCACCATCCCCAGGGCAGCTTGGGTAACAGACAGCCGATCGGTTTGTCACAGAACACAGCGTCGTAGATATGTAGGGCGAAAGTCGGTCGAAGTCTTGATACAGCCTCTCGTACTTGTTGCAACCACACCCTTGTTGCACCCGACCCTTGGCCGCTGGCTGGGGAACCTTGCCGTTGTGCTGACCAAGCTCCAAGAGACAGTTCGCATTACTGTTTCTGGTGACGCGGGGACGGCGCGATGGGCACCCGAGATATACTGTAAGCTCCTGTGTGTTTGTGAACTATGATCCGTTCTGCGAACCGACCCCTTCAGGTCCGGTCTGGAAGGCCAACTGCTCGGCGTAACGATCCAACACGAGCAACCAGAGCTTGAGAAAGCCAAATCTGAGATGCTGCGGCAAGAGGAGGGTTTCAAGGTGCGTGGTGGGAAACAATATACCACCATAACATCAACGTAGTGTTGTTTCGGCGCATGCAGGTTTCTTGTGCTCATCGGAGAAATTCAGGCGGTTATTTGCGGTCCACGACACATGATGCAGTGGTCGACAAAAAAGTGTTCGGTTGGACCTGGGCAGAATGTGGTTCGGCGTATGGGTGTGTTGCCGGTTGAGTCGTGGTATATGGTGGGTATTCTCACCCGCACCACGGGGCTCCTCGCGATAGCAACCGCATAGGCTCGCTCCGTTCATCCACCACACACGCTTTTCGGAAACGTAGGTACGCCTCGCGGATCTTGAGAAGGGTTTGCTGGAAGCCTTGGCCACAGCCGAGGGAGACCTTCTCGAAGACACGAGCTTGATCGAGAGGCTGAGCGAAACTAAAACGACTGCCGCAGAGATTCAGGTCAGCCAATGGACTCCATGCGGATGATCGCGGGACATTCTGCTGTCTTCGCAGATTTCACGCCGAAACAATGCGTCAAGCCTGTAGTTTCGTGGTTTCCAGTCCACAAAACTAGTTCGCGTGCATTGCTACCTCGTCCGGACGTGTGGTAACACATATCACGCTCTACCAGGTCTTCCTTTCTCGCTGATGAAGGCACCGACTTTTTCCCGCACGGAGGATATCTGGACTGTCGACTAGAGATGGAATGTTGCGATCATACGAAGATAGTTCAGCACCAGTACAAGTGCTCGTGCTATATTGACCAAGCAGCTGTCCCAAACATCCGACAGCAGAACCTAGACGCAATGCAGCGCTTCGTTGACCGTTTTTCTTCGAATCCGAAAATCTTTACGAACGCCTGTTGCTGGACACCTGTTCGTTGTGTCATTGGCACACCGATTTCACTTGTTACCTTTGCTTCATGGAAACCAACTCGCTTTGGGCATCGCTTTCCCAACGTCCACGCTAGGTTTCGCTCGAAAAGTCGGCGGAGGCATCTCAGGAGCTCGATAGACAGCGAGACGTGTACCGGGACTTCGCCAGGGCAGGATCTACCCTCTTTTTCTTGGTGGAAGCCATGCAGGTGCATCATGCGGATAATGTCTTGTCTTTCCTGTAGGTCCATGGGATAAATAAACACTGGTAAGGTTTCTCCCCCGAACGTTGTCTCTCTGTGTCGGCTTGGCATCATTCGTTGGCTCCTTCTACCCGATCGCGGGGTAAACGCGGCTACGTTTTCGTCAAGGTCCGTATGTGGAGCTTCACACAGCTTTGCGAGTGACAGATTATCAAACGGGGGCCTCAGGTTTTGCGTAGTGTACCACACAGTTCCGTTGATCTTCACAAGCTGCGATAAAGTCATGTTCTGATGGAATCTTGAGGAGGACAACTTCGGCACCAAACCGTCCCCTCTGGCAGGCGATGAGCCCGATGTACAAGTCATCCCTCGCCAGCTTTGTGAGACTCTTCCAAGCGTGTCTGTCGGAGGAAAAGCACCAACCGGGTCTTCCTGCTCCTCGTTCAAGGCGAGGGAGTTCCTCATCGGAAGCAGCATCGGCGTCGGAGGTCGGGGACAGGCTGGCCAGGCTAACACCGGCTCTGCAGGTTCGATAGGCGTGTGTTGATTGGCCCACCACGCAAGAGCAGGCAATCGGTGCACTTCATCATGCACTTCATAGTGTCCTCGCGCCGGCATGGCGCGTTCAAGTTCGTGTCTACCGTTTGCGTCATTTTCGACCTACTCTTACGGATCCAGGCACTGTCCTACACGACTTTGCTCCAGATTTGGGCTACACACTGTTGAAGGGTCCTGCGTCAGTTGGACGGGCAATAAAAAGTACTAGGCAGAGACCGGACCAATGATTAATGTGATATAAACAACAACACCAGCACCCACAACAACAACAACAACAACAACAACACAATTTTGCTCTTTCCATCGTCCATTCTTGCAGATTAGGGTTTTGTACTTCGTTGGGAGAGCTCTCCTGAAGGAAGATCGACCAACGTTCGCGCTGCACCTGGTTCACGGCATGAATCCGCACCTGTTTCAGCCGGTGAGCAGCTCCCATAGAGAATGCCCAAGGTCTGGACCGGTGGAGCTTTCCCCTGTTTGATGATTACATTCGAACTGAATCGCAACGCGAACATTCCTTGCCATCTTCATCGTTGACAACTATCGTGATATCTCCCGGGGAAACCCTTATAACGTAGCGTTGCGAGCACCGAAAACGGAGCGTGTTGTGCGTGTGGAAAGGCTGGACCTTCAAGACGAGTACGACCACCTACATATATCTGCCAACTCTCGCCCTCAGAAGACAATGTACAACATACCCCAACTACCACAATGCGCTTATTCTCGGACTACAGAACGAGTGGGAGGTCTTCACAGGGCAGCTGGGGTCGGTGGCGGGTGTCTCCGAGGCAGGCCGCCCTAGAGGGTTTCCCCCCTGGGCGTCGCCAGATCGAGAGGAGGCGTTTGGGTTGCTAGCGGAGTACCTCCCGCATCTGGTACAGGCGGCTGATTTGGCGGACGCCGAGCGGTCAGTCTATAGTTTGAGGGTTTCAAGTTTCCCTGCGAATGCACCTACATGTAGGACGCTTGATAGACTCGCTCTGCTATAAGTTGGGCTACCGCAAAGGAAGGGGTCCGGTTGTTCTGTTTTTTTCATCGGGAGTCTACGCGTTTCGTGAAATCCGAACTGAACCCAACTTTGAGCCCTTAACGCTAATCCCGTCAACGGTATCCCTAACCTATCCCTCCTCGACAAAGTCCAACCTACCGACCCAGCCACGGCGTGGTGGGTGCTCCGCCACAGTCACGAAGTTTACGGCACGTCGCACTGGCCGCGAGCGCATCGCAAAGAGCTATATCAAAACAACCAGTATCTCACGTCCGCTCTCTTCTTGGGGCCTCCGTTTCCGTCGACAATAAGGTGGCGTCGGTGGGCGACATCGCCGGAGTGCGAGCGCGAATTCCCCAACATTCGGTCGGTGTCCCTGTTCCAACGGGTTCTCCTGGTGCAGGCCCTTCGGCCGGATAGGTTGCAGTCGGCCCTGCACCAGTTCGCCTGCGACGTGCTCCGAGTGACGTCATTGTCGCCGCCGGCGCTGTCGCTAGAACAGCTTTACCAGCAGGAGGCATCTGGTGGGTTGCGAGGGGACAGTAGTTTCGACAGGCTGTTCAACTTTGAAGTCGAACTTTTGGTGCCTCTTTCTTTTCGGTCAGTAATGAACAGGTATACAGAAGTTACTTTAGGGGTAGAGGGTGAGGACCTCGTCTATTACCTTCTGTGATTCGGGCTTATGTAGCAGTGGGAATCTCCGTGGGGTATGTGACCACTGTCTAAACGCATCCTTTACATAGGTATGTGGAGGGTTTCACCCCGGTAGTTTGGTTTCCCGGGAGAACTAGCTTCGAACGGTTCGCTTCATGCTACTGGTGACGACAAAAAGGTTTCTCCGGCTGTTTGTATCTTGTCGAACACGTGTACATACATCACACAATGCTTACTCGCTTGTGACCGGCCCATGTTGCCCGTCTAACGATGTGCCCCCCCTTCCTCCCCCACGCCCCGCTTTGAACCCCGCACGCCGTGTGTGTTGCATTGACGCAGCAACCATCCCGATCCTCCTGATCACCACTTCTGGCGCAGACCCGGGGAGGGAAATGGAGGAGCTCGCGGAGAGGACCGTCGGTCGAGGAAGGTTTGACCCATGCGACCTTTCGCGCACTGTGGGATAAAAAATTGTGAATCGTGTTCAAGACAGTAGTACTGTAGGAGCTTCGAGCCTTGGCGCCGGCCAGGTAGCCCACATTCCTCACAACCCGGTCTCTTCTGCACGTGGGGCAAGCCAATCCTTGTCGAGGCCAAGCTCGAAGCCGAATGTGATCTGCTCGTGTCTTTCTCGCGGAATGTGGTCCCTACAGCCGAAAACCCAGGCCTCTAGAACAGCTTACTTGTTTCGGCGAGATGGTTCTGGGCCAATCACGATGCTGTGTCCATGGGTATTAACGGGTTACTGTACGGGCCCGCAGTTAAGAAAATCTCGTTAAGAAACATAGGCTCAAGGTCTTACGAAAAAAAGGTCTTCAGAAAAATCTCTCAGCGGTGGATCCTACACCAAACTCCATATAATAAACTGTGCTCGACTGGCGATGAAATAAGAAACTGACTCTCGACCCGATTTTGACGTTTCTTATCGGCGGTCCCGTGCTGTACTGCGCATTATACAACCTGCAACAATTTGTCGCCCTGCAGGTATCAAGAGGTGGCCATGGGAGGAGGGCAACAGGAGATCGCCGTCACGTTACTACGATCAGCCGCTCAAGTGAGAAAGTTCCCGTCGTCTTGATTCGCATCGATGCTAGTTGATGAGGGACACACCGCTGTTGCTGTTGCTGCTGCTGCTGCTGCTGCAGCCGCTGCTGCCGCCACTTTTGCGAGCCCCGACTACGTTGGAGGCATGGTAGCCAGTAAACACGAGGCTTAACCTGCCGCTCCACACTTTGATTTCCCTATTGCGCCAGGCAGCACCAGTAAAGCTAGTTCTTCCTCGTGCATTTTCCTTCACAGCCTTCGCCGACCTTTGCCTCCTGCAAAATATACTATTTCAGCCTTTGGCGCGTGTGTTGCCCTTGTGTTTGACACCGAAGCACGTTCGGTGTTGATATCTACTCGAGTCAAAGGATATCGCGTTGAAACCTGGCTGTTCCGGGACCATCAAACCTTCTTCGCGCCCTTTATTTGTCCCGTTCTCTCCCTTGTGAATCCATCCTAGAAGAAATACAACCAAGCTCTCGGCCTCAATCACCACCTTTTTAATTCCGTCCTTCCGAAACGGCGTGGGTGCATACGTATCAGGCTGGAGACTGGCTGTGCCTGAAGAATCTACACCTCGTGGTGGCTTGGCTACCATGCCTCGAGAAAGAGCTGAGCGCGCTTGAACCCCATGCTGACTTCCGCCTTTGGCTTACGACGGAACCGCACGAACAGTTTCCGCCGCTTCTGCTACAGCAAAGCCTCAAGGTACTGCCTGCTAGCCTGCTGCCCATGGTGTACGCATTTTCGTCGAGTTTTTGCGCTGTCAACTGTGCGTCTCATGCCATTGCATTCGGTTCGCCCTGGTCGTCTAGTTGGTATCCTCGAAACCTTCTAGAGGTCAGGTCAGGGGTTCTAATCCCGGCGTAAGCGAGCTTTTCTTGCAAAGTGAGTTTTTCTCTCGCTTCCGCTCCTGGCCTAGTGGATAGCGCTAGTTCGTGTGTACACAGCGGGAAAAGAGTGCTGAACTCTTCTCGCATTAAAAATTGAAGGCAAAGTACCGCAGGAGGGGAGGGCAGAGAGGGGCTCTTCTGTGTGACCACGGGTTGGAGTAAACGGCACTAGTGCTGTGAGCGCTGATTTGAAGTGAAGAAAAAAAAAAAAAATGGTTTTCGGCTGGCTGGTACCGGGCAGCGGATGAGCACAATATCAATCGACAAGCTTAGCGCAAGTCGAGCTAGCCGATGGCCGATACTACCCTGCAGGAGCTCAATCCTCCTGCCCACTGTGCTGTGCCTGTGGACTAGGGAACCGAGACTGCTAGGAACGGCTAGGACTATAGAAGAAACGAATGAAGCAACGAAAGCTGTGCCATAGCTTCATTGCCCTGGTCCTCCGCCACCGTTACACCACCGCTGTCTATGTCCGCATTTGCTGTTTCGAATCAGATCACCTTCGAGTCTCCGCCTGGTCTGAAGAAAAACATGCAGAGGACTTACAGCACATGGCCTTCGACCATGGTGAGATATCGAGAAAGACGAATTGATAGATTACGGGATACAAAAATCCAATTGGGGTCGTTCACCAAAAATCGGTTTGCCCTACATAATAGGTTGACATCCCACCTACGTGCAATCATCATCAAAATAGCCCATTTTCGGCAGTATTGCCGCTCGACATTTGACGCACCAATGTTGGAATTCCCACAAAAATGTGTGGTTCTCGCTGTTGGGGCATCGTCCACCACTCCCTGTTAGATCTGCAAGTTCACCCCAAGGATGCCCTTGGAAACGACCCATGGGACCCTATCTGGCACCTTGACGTTCGATACGTATCATAACATCCCCTTCATGATTGGCTTTAACCCAAGCATGGCCGTTCGGCCAGAACTACCCTCGCTAATTTGGGAGGCATGTTACACGGTTGTTGTCCGCAAGGTCGAGGGGAGCGTGGTCAAAGCGCAGCTGCTACTAGCCCTTGCATGGTTCCATGGGATCGTTCAGGAGCGACGGATCTTCATGCCGCAAGGGTGGACCAAAGAATATGACTTCTCTATTGGGGATCTGAGGTGAGGCTGGTTGCGCCAACCTCCCGAGTACGCCGTCATGCCCGTCACTTCCAAGCACTTCGAAGCCGCTCGACCTGCACGAACGTTCCCGTAAAGTGGGCCCTATTCGAAAGCCTTCCAAAGACTGCTTGTCTCTTCGAATGCATGCGTTTGATGGGCTACTAGGGTCGATCGATGACCTCTGCTCTACGATTGTCAAACGTGGATCAGGCTCGCTTCAGAACCAAATGAGCGCTGTGTCGTTGGCCGGTTTCGTGATTAAGGGTAGTTGGAGTGCAGGCAAACGGGGGCGGTGGGCAAAACGGGTCAGCCACCAACACCAGCACGCAACTCTTCTCCAGAAAGTTGAAGTGAAGGACGAAAACCATCACGAACACATGTCTCACGATTCTACTCTTGTAACGCATGCGAAGGGCCGGGGCAATGGTGATGACAGCCGAGGCCGACAAGACGAAAAACGGCAAGGTCGACTGGCGAACCGTGCGCGGGCTGATGGTGGACGCCATCTACGGGGGAAGGGTGGACAACCCGCACGATATGAGGGTTTTGGCCACGTATCTGCGCCACTACTTCAACTCTGACGTGGTAAGTGCCCCATTCCGACCTATGTTGAAACGAAAAACAGTTTTGTAGCAGCCGTTGGGGGTACTTCCTGTCTTCCTGAACTCAGAATTTCTGACAATGGTAAGAATCTCTAGCGTGTTGGCTTAGCACTGAAACGGTTGAATGTTCGCAATTACTTGAAGCTGTTGCCGGGCAGCTTCGTCTACCATGGCAACACCGTGTACCACACGACAACGGCCCTCCCTCTCCCCACGCCCCTTGTCCAGGTCGGAGGAGCCGACAATGGTGGGCAGTTGGCCAGAGGCTTAGATGTTCCTGGCACCGACAGGCTTCCCGACTACGTCCACGCCGTCCAGAAGCTCCCCGACACTGATCACGTGAGAGAACCACCCAAGCAAAACCTTGGTCAGACCAGAGAGAAGATTCGTTCAAACGTCCATGGCCGGGAATCTATTGACCGGTTCGTGACTCGCGTGTAAGAGGATGGAATAGAAGGATAAATATGTCGACCATGAAGCTCGAGACCGCTGCCTCTGGGACCTCGTCGCACGTGCATGGGTTTCGGTTCTCGTCGGTAATAAATGAATCACCGTCTCCTCACAAAGCTCGCTAAAGAACCTTCTCGCCGCAGACCGACAGCGCCCCCTAGAACCGGAACCAGTTCTACAATGGTGTACCTATGACCAGACCGTACTTGTACCTTTGCGTGGCTTGTGGACGTCGGGCGCTCTCCGCCCTCACGAGTCTCTGTCGACATGCTCCATGTCTCGGCAATGACGCCACGGCCGTGTTCGTTTTTCGTGTGACAAGAATACCCCCGCGGTCGCACCTGCCGAACGTGCTTAACGCAGCCGTCAGGTTTTGGCCTGCCGGACAACATTGAACGGTCGGTGCAGCGTGCCGCGTCGGCGGTGGTGATAGCAGGGTTACGGCGCCTGGGGGCCGCTTCTATTGGAGGGGGGAGTTTCGATCGAGAAATGTGAGTAGTCTTGTTTCGTTTCTAGCGTGTGGGCGCCGTGTCTTCTTACGTGCGTGCGGATTGTTTCAGCAGACGTCAGCGAACGCGTTGCGCTCACTCCTTTCGTGGGGAATCTTGTGATTGCGGTCTGGTGTACAGAATAGAAGGTTGCTATGCTACCTGGTGGAAAAACTAGTCCGACCATTGTTCCGGGGAAGAAAATTTTAGCACTGTCAATCCGGGATGCCGCAGATGGTCGCATGTTTAAGGACGTATACCCATATGACGAGTTCGGCGGATGGGCTTGAACCCCAACAAACAATGTACATGTTGTCGAAAAGAATTGCCACAGGGTATTGAAAGCTATCCGTCAGCTCGGTATACTGAGCCCGGGCACCTTAAACTCCCACACTTTTTTTTCTTCGCGCCTCCTGCCCGGATGATCGTAGCTGGAGGAACAGGCTGGGCCCTCTCCTCGAAGCGTGGGACAAGATGGCCTCATCAATATCTAACTCTTCTGCTGCGGCGGCTGGGGGCGCGGGAAGAAGGGGGTCCCGCCGTATCTCGGCAGAAAAAGCGACCTCTGGGGCAGAAGGGCGGCAGCTTCCACCTGTGGACGCGTTTGTCGCGATGGAGGCTGAGGCTGCCGTTTGCTTGTGCGAAATCGTGGCTGCCTCGCTCGGCTCAGTCAAAAAGGTCAGATGCGATTGTGGCGCGAGCGCGTAAACCCTGTTAAAAAAACTACGAATCACTTTATCGAGGTGACGGATTGTGCCCCTATGGGCAGGTGGCGTTGGTGCAACGCGGTGGCGCCGCTTGCAAGGGATTACCCCGACAGTCGCTAAATACCACCCAATGCTCAGCCGCCCGATGCTGCCGGTACCACCGACTGTGTTCAATCTTCGAGGTTAGTTTGCTGGACGTCCTCGCAAACCATTGTCGCTTGGTGCGGATGTGGGGCAATACCGGCGACCAAAGCGAGACAACATCTTTCGTCTCCAGGGTAGGGCTCTGGCGTTATATGTCGGAACCGTTAGCATTGGAAATTGCCAGGCATGCGGGAGCATTTTTCGCCCAGGAGTGTTTACTAGAACCTGACGCTCTGTCTCTGCCCCCGCTACCTTCCTCCCTATGTTCTCAAGGTGGTGTACGGCACGGCCCTCCTAACCCCTGCCATCCAGGCCACCGGCGGGGCTCTCATCGCTGGAAGAGTGCCACCTGCCTGGTAGGTGTAGGTGGTGAAACCCGTTCTGTGACAAGCGTTGACGCAAGCGATGATCGTTGACGCCCGCGTGAAGAACAGTATTGCCGGTGCCGTGTTGCTGCAGGAGAGCTCCATGCACGCCCCCCCGGTTAGGTCCACGTTTGGATATAGTTGAATATAGTTGAAGTTGTTCGTGCCCGAACAACAGTCATAAGGACTTAAGATGAGGGGTCCACGTTTGGATATTGTGTCTTGTACTGTGATTCTGTCCTCTACAGCACATGCGCGTATTTTCTGTTCAATTCAACGAATCACCTGGTGCGCCGCAATCAAAACGGAAAAAAAAAACTGTATGAATTGATGCAAGCAGGTCATGTTTGTGGGAAGGGCCGGAGACTCCTCAGGCGTGGCTGACGGCCATGGCGAGAAAAAAAGCGTCACTTTCGCGATGGGAGGCAGGCGTTGCGCGAGGGGACTTGTTGGACAAGCCGGTCGACCTCAGCAACCTGTTCAACCCGAATACTTTCCTCAACGCCGTCCGTCAGCAGGTGAGTTACTGCGTCCTAGGCCGTCCTCTTACTGTAGTTGGTATTCTTCGACTCCAGATTATTGAAATGAACAGGAGGGTACTTGTGTTGGTTGGGGCTTCGGAGGATACTAAAGCAAGAGGTTTTCGGCATTTCGGCATCGAATGTCGTGAATCCATTCGCGGTGAGTTCGCGTGCGTACCCACTACAGAACCAAACGCCTGTTGCACCCCCTCTGACCGTACACAACGCCCATTGTGTGTGACCTTGTGTCCTGTAAAACCAAGAGACCAAGAACCAAGTACAACCCGTGCCAAAAACACGTTTTCGGCGTGCCTCAGTCTCTGCTCACCACCAAACCATACAATACTGTGTTTGCTCTCGAGAGTCTCTGCTTCGGGCTCGCTACTACCTGCTGTCCGTGGATCTTCAAGTATAGTGTTTGCCGTTGAATGCGGGTTTCGGCGATCGGCTGCTGACCTCAAGAACCTGTACAGGCGGTTTGCACTCGCTGGTCATTTTTCTGTCGCACCCTTTGTGCACTGCCCCTCTTCTCCATCACTCATTCACCTGCGCACGTACAAAAACATGTTTTCTTTAGACTGCCAGGTTATCGGGGTGCAGCATGGACGCCCTGAAGCTCGTGTCTAGCTGGGATAAGGGTCGCCTCAAGTCGGCGCCACTCCCGGTCACAATAGAGGGACTGAGGCAAGACGTTGGGAAGATGTGGTCTTAGATAACCCATGTGGCTCCGCCCTCTCAGTCGCCAACAAACTGTTTTGGAACATGACCGAAACGCTTGCAAGTACCTAATAGTTTAGCCTAGCGGTTCGTGTAGACCCGGCATTTTATTGTCTCGTAACCCTTTCCCCCGACCGGCAGCTGGCCGTTCGCAACATCTCCAGCGGCAATGAAATGCGGAAAAGCGTTCCATGACGCCGATGTACGTCGCACATATCAATCCCCCTTTCACCCCCTAAGTGGCCGCCTTCGCCAAAGTTGCACACGGCGAGCCACAACGTGCGGCGGTGGTCAAATAACAGTAACTTTCTTGCGCAGAACAGGAATCATGTACAACGCTATCAATGGTAGGTTTACCGGTTTCACTCCGTACCCGTGTGCTTACGTGCTGCGCAGACTGCAAGGAGCAGCCTTCAGCGGAGGCACCCTGCACCAGCAGTCTCCAAACGACCCAGAGGTGGCAGGCGTACCAGACGTCACACTTGCTTACATCCACAAGGACAAGCAACGCCCTTATCAGGTGTGTAGCCGGTGTTTGGTCGCAGCTGCTCACCGTAAGGTGTCCACCGAAGTCGTCCAGCGAACGCCATATATGGTTTGCAGGGGAAGCAGAGGAAGTGTTCGCAGCTGTTTTCTAAACTCCGGAGAAGCTTGGCTCGATGAGGGTTTTGATATGCTCAGGTTGTCACTAGTGTGTTCGAGAAATGTACCATGTGGCCTCGAAAAAAATGAAACACGTGTCCCGATACTCTTCACGGGCAGCAATCATTTTGGTGATGGTTCTTCTTGCCTCCGGCTTACAGGGGACTCTACTATGTAGAACCGAAGCAGGCCTGCATCCCCTGCACACCCCACCTGGGCAGCACGCCAGTCTGTCGGGAGCATTATTGTTTATCAAGCATTCACCACTGTTCTCCTACACATATTTCACGGAATTGGTAAAACGTGGACAATCGCACGGCACGTTAACAGCGGCCACAGAGCCGACATCAAATGGTGTCGTCCAGTGTGGTATGTACAGTATAATGTGTCGGCTGTGGCTTCCTCTTTCTCTCCATTAGGCCGACCAAGCCATCGAAACGCCTTTGTACTTCTCTCTGGACCGCGAACGGCTGCTAGCCGAGATATCGATGCCGACTACGGAGCCTCGGGATGTCTGGATCCTCGCAGGAGTGGCGTTATTCTTGAAGGATTAAGGATTCTACGATGTAGAGACTTTCGCTAAATATTCGACAATGAAAGTCGGATACGAGACAATAGTAGCCGTCAGGGCAATTGCTAAGGAGGAAATTATTGTGTCGGTGGATGAGCGTTGAACGGGCCGAGCGTCGTATTAAATCATCAGCGTTATAAGGCGACATACAAAGGTCTCAACTCCGTAGCTAGGATGCCGTCCTCTCACTCCCCATGTGAGCGTTGAACGGATGTTGTCGAAGAGGGCAATATCACGGTTCAACACTTGAATTTTTCTTGAGATTGATGTGAAGTAGGTACGGGCCGCGTTTGTGCCATTCATCCACGATGGTATAAGAATGAGATGATGTTACCTTTAGCGGGTACGCAAGGTCTAACGGTGTGGGCTTGACCTCGCACATCATGGGTTTTGGAGATAACCATACCGTGGCGTAGGCTGGCACGGGACGTTCCTAGCGCCGTGCCAGTCTACATGTTCTACTCTTGTTTGTTTGGTTCGGCAGGTGACCAGACGTTGTTGACACAACAGCAGCAGCCAGCCGCTCCGTGAAGAGATGTATGTACCAAAAGTGTTGCGTTCACCAAGCAGCCATGTTGACATGCGCGAAATTCATGCAGAGGTGACCAAGAGAGCCCAGGGTGGAGGGGACTCCGTCACTCAACCGTCGGAAAACTATAAGACAAAGCCTGCATGAACGCAACGACAAGAAAAACACGACGTGCGTACGGTCGTTTGAACGACAGAAAACTGTAGAAGACAGACGAGTTGAATAAACCAAATGTCATACCGTCGGGAAAAGGGGTGGCGATACCATACAAATACTATCCCGCTAAGGAAGGAGCAAGTTCAATCAAACAGACGAAAGGACGAAACCGGCATCATCCCACTGAAGTAGGTCCGACTCGCAAACGGGGTGCCAAGGTTACACGCGAAAAAAAATCAAGACACATAGATAGGTCTACTAAATATTCGAAATCGGTGGCCGTGCGGGGGGATGGGGGTGATTTGTGGAGGGCGGGGCTCCATACTAAGTTTTATATAATTACGCACGGGGCACCGTGGATAGAAGTCTGTCTGCAGAAGGGGGGGCAATGACTTATTTTTTTCATGAACGAAGTCCCCTATACTAATTCCTATAGAAACCGAAATCGAAATGGCCCTACAGGGGGCGGGGGACTGGCCTATGTGTGTGTCCGGAATTTATTTTCGCGGGTAAACCCTTGGGTGCGCGAAGAATCACCGGGCAAGGAGTCATCGGCTGTCCGAGAGAAATCAATACCGATCGATGCTACCGACGATAATGCGGACGCGTCCCCGTCGTAACCGCTTGTCGATAAAGCGCCGCGAACGCGGCTCCCCGGCTTCGATAATACGCCATCGGAGACTGTTACATGGATTGGTGAGAAGCAACGCTACCACAACTGCGTCTTCACTCAACGCAGTCAATACAACCGTTGCATTTCTCCCCTACGTCGATGCTCTTCTGTAGTCTGGCAGTTTGTTCGGCATGAAGAATTGCTCGACGTTTGGGAGGAATATCATATGTAAAAAAATATTATCAATGGATGAGTCGTGTCCGAGGTGGGCATCAAGTAGTCTCGGCGCGTGCGAGATGCATGCACACCGACAAGACGCGCGTGACACCACACCGGTTAGAACCACCGCACGGCTCTGCTTGCGCATGCCATCTCTATCCCGCGGGAGATGCACAAGGAACAACTTGATGGTACACAACAAACACGATTTATCCCTGGCACATCCTCTGCCTGGATCCATTACCCCTCCCCCGGAAATACGTGCAGATCTGCATACAGTCAGTATCGAAATAATATAGGTTTACATTATCCAACAAACGATCGCTGTGATCGACTTCCTCTCTGCTAGCGAACTCACATGACATTGAGCACCGTTTAGCGCACTCGGGCTAAACGCCTACAGGACATTTGAGAACGAAACCTCAACCAGTGCTGTGCGCAGTGGCCCTCTACCAAAGGGTGTGGTGTGACAAGCAAATGATCCAAGGAAATTACTCAAAATAACCAAAATTCCTGCTCGAAGGAAGACAAGCAGCCATCTCACCCAAGGGATACAACTTGATCAACACAACTACGGCATGGAACAGCTGAAGTTCGAATACTGCCCCGGTGAACATCGACCCAACACACCACTTGCAAACGGCCGCTTCAAACGGGAATGGCGCCGAAAATCTGCCATGGGCTGCACTTCTTGCGTCCATTCCAAACATTACATAAACGTAGTGCATGCTGTCCACGCCGTCACACCATCGCAGCACATGCGCAACCGTTTCGTCACCTGCTCTATATTCCATATCCCACCCAACGTTCCCAGCCCCCCCCCCCGCCCCAACCCAAAAGCAAACATTGGCGTTCCCCTCATCGTGCCCACCATGAACCCTTTTTAGATGGCCTCCCCCGACTCGTGGTTCTGGATGGGCCACCGTCCGTGCAAAATGCCCCTCCCACTGCACCCTACCGGGGCCTCGTCCGCGTGGACAGCTATATCGGGCAACATGTGGTGAACGAACATCCCGATTGACCTCTCGCTTGCTCTCAGGAAACCGGCACCATGCCCGTTGCAATGTGATAAAAAAAAAAGTATAGCGACAGCGTGCAGGTGTCCGTGCAAAATGCCCCTCCCACTGCACCCTACAGGGGCTTCGTCCGCGTGGACAACTATATCGGGCAACATGTGGTGAACATCCCGATTGACCTGTCGCTTGCTCTCAAGAAAAAACGGCATCATGCCCGCGTTGCAATGTGATAAAAAAAAAGTGTAACGACAGCCTGCAGGAAAGCAAGCTACAGTAGACGGGAAGAGGTGACGACCGTGCTTGGCCGCTGACTGCTGCGACAGGCGACGGCGACTAGAGTAAAGCGGTGCGTGGTAGATAGTTTACCAGCCCTGGCCTTATGAGAAGGGCTCCGTTGCAATTTGGTGTCTGTTTCAAGTGTTTGCACTTGCCCAGGCCGTCTCCATTCGTCTTGCCATACTTGTCACCCTGGCGGATGCGTCCAGAACACATAGACAAACAAGGCGTGCAGCCTCTGACCGCCGGAATATGATAAAATGCACGGCACACACACACACACACAAGAGAAGACACAGACTTGTTCGAGAGTATTGCTGCTTAGTTTTTCCTGTTGTTGTATTTGTTCAACACGCGGGTGTACTCCGACTCCGCGTAGTCCCAGTTGACCAAAGCCCACCAACCCTGGCAGCGACGGACAGCCGGACGGACAACAAAGACAGCACGAACGTGGACATCAGAAACAGGAGGGAATCGGCACGTGACAGCGGCACCGACAGAAATCTACGCGCAAGACAGCACAAAGCGCAAGAAGATGACACCGGCGTCGTCCAAGACTCGAGAAGAGGCATCCAGCGTGAAACAGTGCATACAGTAGACGGGGACAAATCATAGTGCTCCGCAAGGAGGGCTGCGGCCGGTCGCACCTCGATGTAGGAGGCCCTCAGGTTCTGGTAGTCGAGGTAGTAGGCGTGCTCCCAAACGTCGCAGACCAGGAGCGGGAATCCAAGTCCCTCGCTCACGGGGTTCGAGGCGTCGTGCGAGTCCACCACCTGGATTGACACCAAAAGCGGCATGTTACACAACAGCAGAGACGAGTGGCAACGTTGATTTGGCGTTGTACGACATGGATAGTCATGGTTGATCTGTGAGATGACCAGTGTAGAGCCGAAGAGAGCAAGACGGAGAGGGCTGAAATGATAGAGAGATAGGTTCCGGAATGACGATCATGAAGGCGATGGAAGGGATACCAGCCGGACGTGTCCCTATTTCTTCGCGTCGTGTCGCTAACCCCCCCCCCCCCACCCCCCCCCAACCTCGCGCTCCCCTCGAAGTGATGTTGTCGTCGTAAGTCATTCATTTGTCTGGTGTCGCGGTAGTAGTTGCCTATTTCGTTGTTTCGGTGGACTGGAGCGTTGGAGGGGACCTGTCTATCTTCCCTTTTGTGTCCTTTGTCTTGTTCTGTTTTTCTTTCGTCTTTCGTTCTTCATCCCGTTTTTGGACCAGGGTCGATCGCATGTATCCCGGTTAGTTATCTTTCTCGTTTAGGTAAACAACTCGTTTGGGGAATAAAAACATAACGCGTTTTGGAGGAGTCCTCTGGGGTCCATTTCATTCGTTTCGTTTCTAGAAAGGTGTACCCCCCTTTGGGGAGTAATTCGCTTGGGACCACGGAAGGCGTCCGCATAAATTGAACCAGTACAGGCACTAGAAGGTACTGAGTGGAGACCGGGACGGTTATTATTGTGAAAACAACAACAGCAACAACAACAACAACAACAACAACAACAACAACAACAACAACAACAACAACAAAGAGGCTGTAACACGAAGCCGCCGGCTACAATAGGCTGTCTTGGCTAGCGAGATGGCACAAGCAAGCCCTGACTGCACCTCACGTATCTCACGTATTAGCAGCGAGAGTACTACTATCTCCATTGTTGCCAGCAGGTGGGAATGCCTAGAACCGGCTATAGAGGATACGGCCTCTGCCTCGGTAGGATGCAGGAGGCTATCCCCAGGGAGAGGAAAGCTTGGGTCCACGCTGGAGCCTATAACTATTGAGCTGTGTGGGGACGACATAGAGCTTGCCGTATGCCAGCAGGATCATCAAAAGTCTTTCCACGGTAACGCTTACAAGTCTCTCACGCCCACGGTTCCGACAGAATGCCTAGGAAAACCGACATGATTCTCTTGTTTCCTCACATCCACGGAGCCATCTTCGTGCATCATCAGCCAGGCCCACCCACTGCCGAAGTGTCCAGAGGCCAAGTCGGTGAACGCTGTCTGGAAGTCCTCGTAGCTGCCGAAGGCCGCCACGATAGCGGTGTAGAGATCCCCCGTCGGCATTCCGCCCCCGCTAGGCGAAAGCGAGTTCCAGTAGAGGTTGTGGTTGTAGATCTGCAAACAGAAATAGTTGTACGAAACTCATCAGCGCCAAGGACAGCACCTTCGCGTTCCAACCGTCCAACCGACGTGAGGGCTACTCGACATCCGAGTACGGCTGTGCACCATCACGAGGAGTCCCTGTGCAGGTTTCCAACGACCACTTTGTGAAACTCTAGTTCCGCCTGCTGAAGGCACTTGCCACGTTCGCCTAACAAAGCCAATCGAATGACCACCAGGTGATTGTGTTGGGGTGGTCGAACCATGATCTCTCTGGTCTTCATCTCGGAGAGTATAAAAATATGTATTTCCACGCTGTTTTTCCAGAACTCCCAACGCCCCGCAGCACGTGTACTGGGACTCGTTTCCGTCATTGCTTTCTGTCTCATGTGAAACAGCCGCACAACAGGGATACGACAATTTGCTCTCTTCTTCCTTAACGCATCACCTCCCCCCCCCCCCCAACATTGGTCACCGCACTTTAGAGAAAAAACACTAGCAAATCACGGACACCTACAGTAGCACAGATCAATAGGGTCGTTCGGCTCCGATTGACGGCCGTTACTGCGCAAGAAGCTTGTGACTCTAAGACTGAAAACGACTTGACTGCCGGCAAACACGATGATTTCCACACCTGGGCGGCATTGTTGAAAATCGTCCCCTCGGTCTGTTTCATGAGCTTCCAGAGGGAAAGGCCCTCGAGCTCAGGATCAGCCTCGATGAAAGCGTTCATGTTGTTCACATCTGCGAGGCGGGGCAGCCAAGCCAGGAAAGCACAAGATAGAAAAGGACATTATAAGCTGCGGGAAAACAAGATTGTACGAGAAACGTAAAAACAATGACCAAGGGGTAACGACAATACCGGGGAAGGCCAAGGGACACAGTACAAGCATTCATCTTCCACCGGCGGGTGGCAGTGTGAACCAGAATTGGATGGATTCGCCATCAAGGCCTGTCAAATATCGCGCAATAGCATGTCCATCCCAACAGCGACGTGTGCCTTGTTTCTTGGTTCTTTCACCCTCCATGTACACAACTTCCACTGCAGTATCTTGTGTTCAACGAGATCTGAGTGACATGACACTCTACACAAGCACGAAATGACCGCATCTGTAGCAAATGCTAGGGCGATCCCGAAAATATTCTATAGATATACCGCATGCTACGTCAGATATGACAGTCTCTACTCCCGCCACAGTTCCGCCTGATACGGAGACAACGGGTGTTGTTGCCAGCCCCAGCAACATTGTTGTCAGGGCAACTGACAAACCACGCACAACATGGGGTCCAGGTGCCATCCCAATCTCAAAGCTCCCTGCGCCCTACTACTTTCAGCGTGATTCGCACAGAACATCTCGCACTCAAGGGGTGGGCCAAAGCGGTAACAGATGTGTTCATGCAATAGCCGCCTCCGAGCACGACTTACCACCAGCCGTTCCTTCCAGACAGGTGCAAAAATAGAAAGAAAAAACAAACACTAGGGCATGCACCCAAATCCAACACATCCGAAACCGAAGCAGGAGCGAGTGCTTTGAAATCAGTGCCGACAGCAGTACTTACATCCTTGGTGATGCGCTCCGTAGTGAAAGCCCACGGTCTGGCGGATGCGGGCAAGGAAGGACGCAGCATACACAGCATGGATGGGGGCGGGGAGGTTGACATTGACGATGAATCTTGAGTCCAGTATCGAATGACGACGCCCTCTTTCTTTCGGTCTAACCGGGACCCTGTGCGTTGCTACCGCACGACTGCATGTAATGTGTCCCTCCACATCGTTGTTGCGCAATTGTATCTGATTGTGATAGCAACTCGACGAGTATCGTCGCGTTGCTTGTCTGAAGCTTTCGATTTTTTCGGCGGGTAACTACGCTTGGGGCAACAACCCAAGGTAGACGCGAAGACGCCCGATCAGCACACAGACGGCAAGACTTGTCGTGAACCAAACGACATTGACACGCTCGATGGGCACACGACCAAATATGCAGACTATGTACACGAACGACGGAAGAAACTATTATGTCAATGCGCTTGCCGTCGCGATAGATGCGCACCGCTACCACTACACGAACGAGTAGGCTGTTGTCAAACCTGACTACGATAACTCTCCGAGCGTAACAGCAGCGCAGCAGCACCCGCATGTGTACAAAACTGTCACTCAAGACCACAACGAAAAAAGAAAAGATGTGGCGCGCAGCACGCAGGCACGCAGGACCTGTCCAACCGGCCGTCTCCATGGCGAAACAGGCAAGGAACACTCAAGGCCGACTCTTGCCGGCCACAGGAGGTGGAAGCTGCTCAAACTCGGGGACGGCTCATGATTTGCGATTCCACATCGAACCATACTCGAGGTGCCACGAGATTTGCACAGTAGCCCGAGATCAGCATTTGAGACCGGGTCGGGCCAGGGGTGGGGGATGCGAATGAAACTTCCACCCACCCACGGATATCGAACGTCAAGCTTCAGACAAGCTTCAGAACAAAAAGTGAGGAATAGACGTGACATGCCCATTCAGTGAAACACGCTGTCCAGTCAGCAAACAAAACAAAAATAACTGTCACCGCGGAGCGGTTCTACACCAAGAACACCTCCTGAAATTTCCAGACCACACTGCTGCTGTTGTCACGCTTGATGGTCACTGTGTCCGTTTTTACCTCCCGTTTGATGTATTCTATTTTACGTGCGTGCCTTTTAGTGTGTTGACCTGTGAGCACGGAAGGCGTCCATGTCAGAAGGTACTGGCAAGAGACCAGAAAGGTTATTAACGTGACAGCAACAATATCATTAGGTAGGGTAGTGATGCGGGCCCACCTGCTGCATCTATCTGCCAATGCTACCCGGAATTAGTGCAGTACGGACTTGTGCGGTTTCCAGTGAAACGATCCCTATGTACCCCATTTGTTTTCGGTTTTCACCCCTGGGCTCGTTCAAAGCGTTTCGCTTGATTTGTGTGGTTGGCCTGTGACCACGGAGGAAGACGTCCGTGTCTAGACGTCTGAGCAGCTACCGGAACGGTGTGTTATGTCAACAACAACTGCAGCAACCAGCAACAACATGAGAGTTGGTCTGAAAGATAATCGTACCAAGACAAAATGACAAGAGTGCGAGAGAGAGAACACTACACACATACAGGATGGGACCGGAGATATGAAACGTCAAAATCGGGTCGAGGAGCCACTAAATAATTTTTTATTTTGGAAGGACCAACGGAAGTCTGTCAATTTTTTCAAACGGATTTGGGTGTCGCATCATGCTGTTTCTCTGATTTCTGGCTAAGTAAACAACACACAAGCCTTCATGCAGTATGTTAGATATACTCGCAGCAGTATCTGGTCGTGAGGATCCCAGGGGGATACGTGTTGGGAATTTCGTGTGTTGCAGGGTACCATCGGTGCGGTCACGGGGACCCTTTTGGCGTGGTTGGTGCGATGAAGCTTGCGTGCGTGCTGCGCTCACTTCTTCCTCTCTCTCTCCACCACCACCACCGTCTCTCTCCAATCAAGTTTCCTTCTCCCACTCTCTCTCCAACTCTCTCTCAATCTCTCTCTCTCGGCCTAACACGGCCGACTACCCAGTGCCCCAAGTAACGTCCAGAACGTGCTTGCTGCACCCCGCGTAGTTTACCTTTCACAGTACTTAACCGACAGCTCGGTGTGGCGAACATTGATAGGGGGTTGTCGCCCTCCTGAACTTCCTGACCCCTTCGATGTGTGCCAGTACAGCAGCAGTGGGTAGCGCAGCCCGCCACGGCTCTGGGGCGTGAGGGGCGCTTCGAAAATAACCACTCTCTCTCTCCCTCCCCCTACCAAAACATTACACGAGCTATGTAGGGTGGGAGCATGGCAGCAGCAGCAGCGGGACGTTTCTTATTGGACACGCTTCCCCAGCTACCCCTTGTTTCTTGTGTGTCGGGGTATCGCACGGTCATGTTTCTTGTTCGGACGTTTCTTTCGTCGTTGTGGCAGATTGAGCTGTGTTTCTTAGCCCGTTTTCCTTTATTTTTCGTAAACAGTTTTGTTATTATTTTCTTGATATGACCCAACACATCCATCTCTAATACGGCCATTTGTTACGTTGTCTTTTTATTTGATTCCCCCCCCCCCAAAAGAGACGACCCAAAAAATGATCTACAAAAAAGAGGACTTCCTTTTGGCGGTGCTGGTCCATCCTTTTTTCTATTCCGAGTCATCGACCGAAAAAAAGAGACCCTGCAATGGCCGTTCGTCACACATACCGTATATGACACAAGATAACACACCCCCTTGGCCGATTTTCAAAGCTCGATTTCTCAACAGCAGGAAGAGTCACAGCGCCGAAAACGGCGGCGTTGGAACCGTCTCGTCGAGAGCTGTTCGAAAACGTATTGTTTCATTTATGCATCCTCTTCGTCGTGGAGTAATCGAGCTTTGAAAATCGGTCCAGGGGGTGTGTTATCTTGTGTCATATACGGTACATACACCTTCCACCGCTACATATGGTGTTTTGGTGATATCTCCGCATACAGTGAAGCAACAGCGATGACAAAGGCATCCGCCATGAGCTGTGTGTATGGTCCGTCTTGGGTGGTGGCTGTTAGAGACCAAGGGCGATTGGAGGCACGTAAATTGAGGTGGCGAGGGTCAACAGCACGCCGGAAAATACCCACCGCGCCAGCAACCAGTTTTGTTTTGCTCTTTGGCCTGTGTTGAAACATTGGTATATCGATGCTCCCTCGCCACCCACTCCAGCACATGACAAAGGTATCCGCCATGAGCAGTGTGTATGGTCCGTCTTGTGTAGTGGTTGACACAGATGAGGAGGCTATAGGGCGCCCAAAAGTTGGGTTCGCAAAAGTTGACAGCACACCAACGAAGACCCCCCGCTGCTGCGTCCAGACTCTCTCGGCTCGTTTGCCGCTTGTTTGTGCAGCACACATCGGGTTGTCCACTTGGTCCAGCCGAATGAAAAAATAACGCTACCGCTGATGCTACTGACTCTGCACCAGTCACATGACACAGCTCGTGTGAACACCGTTAGAGTTTGCGGGCATCAACCGTCGAGAGATTCAAGTTTGTAGGTAGCGTCATGTGGTTGTGACAAAAAAAAGACAAACAAAATTTGACGGCCCCGACTCATCCAAAACTGCCAAGAAAAAGACAGGATGCGCTGTCCAAAACGAGTTGTCTTCTTTTGTTGGCCTTTTTTCCCTGCAAAAAGACACCGTAAGAAGGGGTTCTGTGACCAGTTGTCTTTTTCTGAGGAGGAAAAAATAAAAAGACAGCTCCAAAAAAGAACCGTAAGATAAATTAGCAATGAACTCATGTTGTCAGAGAATAATTTTTCGTTTTTTGCTGCACCAAATGTATCGAAGTCCCGCTTTTCCGGGCGGAAAAAGTCTCATCTTGCTTTTCCCTTGTATTGACCAATCAGCGTCTTTGACCCCTGATACGCCCCCAAACTTGGTTTTGGCAGTGGCAATTTTTACTGTCGGTCGGGTCTTTAACCAATTCTAACCAATGCACAGTCCAGAGTTAAGACGAATGAATATTATGCATTACCATAGAATAGTGTGTCACAATACAAACAGCGTGTTGTACAGTCGGTACCACTGCTGTCCTTCAGATGGATGGATGAGGTTGACACGTACTCCTGTATGTTGGAGGTAGGATTTTACTGTCGGTCGGGTGCACGAAAAATAAATAGCTCTTGCACACGTATGGGTAGCATACACAGTACCCTATTTTGCCTCAGGGGGGAAGGGCGGGTACACTAAAATCAAGTACAATTAAGGGTTGAGCTTTGCTCGAAAGTAGATATACATAGATAGATACTGTTTGGGGTGCTCGGCAGAGTATACTGTCTACGGGACCTCCGGGGGATACGCGGATGAAATGTGTTGATGGGCATGCTGCATGGCGATGGTGTTGCCTACCGCATGTCTCTCACTCTCTAATCAACAAAGGTCTTGAGTCAACCTTCTTTCTCTTTCGGCCTCTGACGGGCTACCGCACCCAAACACAATATATTGTACGGCCTGGTGTTGGTAGTGGGTATTGGCGTCTGAGCTGTATGTGCCGGGCCAATGGGGCGGCGAATACGATATATATAGCTAAGCTGGGACGTGGCCAACGGGGACGGGACAGCACGGCAGCGGGTAGTGTATAGCTGGGACGGTGGCCATCGGGGACCGGGACAGCAGGGGGTGTATTGCTGGGACAGCGCTTCAGGGCTGGGACAGCAGGGTACGGGATATTTTTCAAGCGTAGACTATGGCGGAGAGAAGCGGCGGAATAGGAAGAGATTCGCAAAGGGAGGAGGGTACAGTTGTGCGCATCAAGATGGAGGAGATGTCGCGCAACGCAGCAGAGAAGCTACGAGCTGCCGAGTCGGAGGTGGAGAGGCTGGTGAAGGTGCTCAGAGCTGCGGAGGCTGCCGAGTATGAGAAGGAGAGACTTAGGCGGCAGCAACAACAACAACAACAGCAGCAGCGATGGAGTGCTCAATGGCAGCAGCAGCCATCGCAGGTACAGCAGTGTTCTCGTGGTGGTTTTGTCAGTCAGCAGAACCAACATTGCGTTTTCACTCAGAGCCACCAGGCGCGGCAGCACCAGCAGTTGGCG